ACATTAAAGGGAAGGTCATTCATGAAAATGATAAATAAAAGTGGGCCTAAAATTGATCCCTGGGGGACTCCGGTCATTAAGGGTAAGACACTAGAAAGAATGGGTCCATTGACAGAGTCAATTTTTACTCTCTGATTACGGTCAGAAAGATATGAAGCAATGAGCGTTAAGGCATTTTCAGAGAGACCGTATAAATGTATAAATTTCTTGAGTAGCAAAGAATGATTGAGGAGATCGAAAGCTTTAGTTAAGTCAAAACGTATACTCATTACAGGAAGTTTTTTTCAAAGGCGGTGAGGACTTTGTCTATAAGTTTATACAGAGCATGGGTGGTAGATAAACCCTTTCTAAAGCCAAACTGGTGATGATATAGCAGGTTATTGGACTCAAAGTGGCATAGAAGCTGCTTAAATAGGATTTTTTCGAATAGTTTGCTTATTGTAGAAAGAACAGAAATAGGTCGATAGTTAGATACATCCTGCCTGGAACCCTTTTTAAACAAAGGAGTTACATTGGCAGACTTCAAGCAGTGCGGGAACACACCTGTCACGATACATTTATTAATCAGCACAATCAGATGCTCACCAATGATAAAAAAATAGTCACGAAGGAATAATGGAGGTATACAGCCATATGTATCTGCTTTGTTTGGCTTGAGACTACAGACACACGAGTATAGCTCATTTAGCGTTATTTGGGAGAATGTAAAGGTTGGAGGGGGGTTTTCCAGGGACTTTTTTGTCATCTCAAGAGCCCTAAAATGAGCTAAATTACTTGGAAACGTATTATGCAGGGAGGTGAGATGTTCATTGAAAACATTAGCTATTTTAGCAGGATCAGAAACAATCACCCCATCACAGCGAACAGCATCAATTAGCGAATTGTCATTAGTACTCGGCGTTTGGTCCTTTATAATTTTACAAGTAGTAAAAGATTTTTTGATAGTTATGGTAACGAATATCGTTAGATGCTCCCGTTTTATCATGAGATGCATGAAATGGCGACGATAGTGGTTTCGATGCGAAAGCGAGGGGAGCCAGCGTGTGTAATCCGGGGAGTTGGGTGGGCGGTCATTATGGGTCCATTATTGAAGCTCAGATGCGAGATCCGATCCGCTTATCCTGCCTGCTCACCCGCAAGATTTACGGCGCCGGCGTCGCTCCTAATCGCCCAAGTCGCGCGTCTCGCCGTTTTGATTTGTAAGCTTTCATAATCTCCGCCGCTCCCCGACCTGGGTTCGAGCCCCGGAACAGACCCTGTTTCTGAGCTCGAGTCATCTCCAGCCAGCGATAAATATGAAATTACTCGCCATTCTTGCGACGCCAAACCTCCGAGCTAAACCTGAAATTTTCGTTTCATTGTACCTTAGGTAGTTAGTGGGCCTGTTGCAAACTTTTACTAGAGCAAAAAATAAGCGTTGTTTCTTACAGATAATGTCTCAAAAATCACGATGAGCGCATCGGCTAACTCTGAAATGCACTCCTAACTTCACAATCTGCGTAAGGAATTCTCGTTAAAAGCTTCCCGCTTCAATAATAAGAATACTATAGCACAGGTGAACACTTTGTTAGAGGAGTCGTTCCATTCAATCCCTACTCAACATGACCGACGCTTACGCGCGCAAATTGAGGAGAGCACGAGGTCAATCAAGGCGGATATCTATCATCGCGAGAAAAATGTGAATGTAAACAAGTCGACTGTTATCAGGTGGTTAAATTATCGTCCCGTCACATGTGTTTTGGCGGATTGGCGTCGGCTATGTTGAATATTGCGTAGTATACCTGTGAGTAGGGGTTGGATGGGATGAATCCTCTAACGACATGTTCACCTGTGCCGTGGTATCGTTTTTGAGGCGGAAAGCTCGAAAAAACGCAAATTTCATACGTAAATTGTGAAGTAAGGAGTGCATTTCAGACTTTGCTGATGCGCTCATCGTGATTTTTGAGACGTTTCCAATGAGTAACAATTCCTATTTTTGCTCTAGCAAAAGTTTGCAACAGGCCAATTGGACGTATTTCTACCAAACAAACCTATGTGGAGGTGAGAAATATGGGGTGTGCTCGTCAGTTCTCTTTGCGTAAGAGTGAATGGGAATAATAAAGCGCCAATGACGTCAGCGGCAATGATAGTGCGCACTCGAGCGAGGGGGAGATCGTCGTCGGGGCGCTTTAACTCGTGAGCCCTGTCCACAACGCTATCTTGCCATGCCCGCGGCTCATGAATCTCGCATTCAGTTGGCACATAGGTCCGTTCGATTGAATGTAAAATCCCGCTTTTCCAATTCCTCAAAAGGAATCACGCCCACTTTTACATTGCTTCTTATGCAGCTTCGACGAGCACACCCCATATTTCTCACCTGCACATAGGTTTGTTTGATAGAAATACGTCCAAATAAACAAAAAAGCATTTTTTTCTTTGTTCAGCTGTAATGAAAGCAGTTTGAAACTACTCAGAGACACATTAGCGTGAGAATAGGTCCATTGCGCTAGGGGCTTGCTTCTCATTTGCGAAATTAATTTCCTTAGAGCACATGCAATGACAAATGCATTCGAAAGGAATTCGATGAACATTAAATATTCCATGAACGATCGAAAAAATACTTAAAACTAATTATTATTTGTTTCTGTGTAGGATACGGCACCAATTCATATTAGGCTGGATTGCAAGTAACAACATATTTTTATATTTGTGCTGGGTACCATCTCAGATGGTATAGCCCCAGCCCCACACCATCAGATTAGTGTCGGACTCAAACTTGGTTTTTACCGGGCATAAATGTATTGGTGCCGGAGTGAGTTCCAAAATTTAGATAGGTCAGCATCCTACGCAGGAAAATTTAAGCATTGATCCGGTACTTTTGAAAAATTTTGAAAGTACTGGACTAGAGTTACGGGCAATGAACAAAACATTAAAACACTCAGTTGTAATGAAAATTTGCTTCTGACGGTGAGCGTGGAAAATGGCGACCAAAATACCGGGGGAACTTGAAACACGTGGCTTCTGTGCCGATTGATTTGTGTTAAGTAACTTTAATCACATTCTCACCAAGTTTCATGCTGGTAATGTAAAACACACTTTGAGGGTGATTTTTAAGTGTAAGCGGCCTCATTCTATTAATGCACGACTTGAGGTGAGATTTATTTTCACGGATCACATTAAAGTAGCAGGTACTTTTTAATTTTACCTGTAGATGCAGCGCCAATCCTGACTTACAACTTCATCGAGCAAACTTTGCAGCCAGGACCGGCCGTGTCTTTAAAATGCAGTGCCACCGGCAACCCGACGCCCCACATCACGTGGCATTTGGACGGATTCCCGCTACCGCAGAGTAACAGGTGAGACCATCCAGTCTTCAAGCTCTTGAAGAAGAAACGGGCGTTTTTTAAATGTAATAGTTGGATGTTTGACAAACTTCAAAATCCAATGAAGTATATTGAAGAGCTATGATGGAAGAGACAAAATGCGCTCACAAGTGAGTGAGCGAACTTTGTCAAAAAGTGGTCGTACGCCTTAGAACACCGCCGAACACCATGATACTTCACGCCGAATCAAAGCCAACTTCAAATATTCGAAATAAGAAATATAATAAGATTCACTTGTGTCTCAACATGCAATGAGCAAGTTCGACAAATGGCTTTATTTGTATATTCACCACACTGGAAAAAAAACACATTGGATCCGGAGTCCAGACTCTTGAGAACATTGACAAAAAAAAGGACTCTTGATTCAAGCAGATTTAAGCTTAAATCAAAAGGAAATCCGCTCAAAGTAAGAGGCTTGGTTCTTGATTTAAGATTAAATCTGATTGAATCAAGAGAATTTGTTCTTGTCGATGTTTTTAAGAGTCTGGACTCTAGATCCAATGTGTTTTTTTCCCAGTGCATTTTACTCACGAATGTTGAGAATAATCAGTCATATAGATAGAAATATTAAGAAGTTACAGTTAGATTAACTTTAACGTTAATAAATTTATCCAAATTGTAATGATCAGATCTTGAAGTCGATGGCGCGGTACGATTTCACGTATTATTATTTCGTATCAGCGTTATTTTCCCCAGGAGAGAGTGCCTGATTAGGATGTATGGTAAACTTGGTTTTACAGGTTCGTGATCGGGCAGTACGTAACTATTCACGGAGACGTGATCAGCCACGTGAACATCAGCCAGGTAGCGGTAGACGACGGTGGCGAGTACAGCTGCACAGCCGAAAATCGCGCCGGTAAAGCGCAGCATGCAGCCCGTCTCAACATTTACGGTCAGTTTTTTTCCTGCTCACAATAGTTAATAAAATATTGCAGTACTACTAGTAATTAATTAATTAACAATTTTCGTCTTTGGGGCTAGTTCTATGTTAAGATTGATCCTCCGATCAAAATTTAACAGATACTTACTTTGTGTACCCAAAAAACTCACCACTTTCACTTTTTACATTTTACTGTCGACGCGTTTCGAAACCAAGTTTTTTTACCAATGGCTTTTAATGCTTGTTTAAAATTGTTTTAAAAAACTGTGTGTACCTGGCAGTGTCCAATAACACAGGAACTGTCATCTTAAATTAGTCGTTTCTAAAATACGTAAAGCTTAAGGGGACAGGACAGGGATCCTGAACCTGCGTTTCAAGGGGAGGTGAAAGTTTAGGATTGCGTTATTTGATAATGAAATTGACGCTAACATTAAGGGAAGGGAGGGGGGGGCAAACAGGGCAGAACGTTTCGTAATTGTTTGGGGAGTGCAAGTCCGTATATTGGGAGAGAGGGTCAAAAAATTCGATTTTCAGCGTTACGTATTTTATGAATGGCCCCTAAATATTGATGGATTGATAAATATTGTCCAGCAGATTTGATTTCTCCTTGATGAATTAATTTTCCACCCATCAAATAGCTCTCAAAATAACACGAAATATTAAACCTCTACACAACCTACTAATGAAAAATGTATGTCTCTATCCAGGCCCTCCTTTTGTACGATCAATACCAAAAGTAACGGCAGTTGCTGGAGAAACTTTGAAATTGAAATGTCCTGTCGCTGGCTACCCGATTGATGAAATTCACTGGGAAAAAAGTAAGAAACTACATTTTTATTTTATTTTAGTTTTTGCTGTTGAACCAGACGCTTATTTTGAGGCATTGTGCAAGTGCCATAATGTGATATTGAACTTCATACTCACCAACAACTTCTAAAACTTCTTAAACTTTAGTTCTAAAACTTTTTTAAGACTATATAAACTCCGAATCACGATTCTTGGTCCATATAGGTCCCAAAATTCATTTTTTTTCCTTTTTTTCCCTTTTTTTTCTTTTTTTGCTAATTAAGCGGCTTTACACTGACTTAGGGGTTTAATGAACTAGCTATTTCTGTCAAATGGACAATTTTGTGTTAATTTTTTTTTTTTTTTTTTTTTTTTTTTTTTTTTTTTTTTTTGTAATTTCCGACTTCGAAAATGACATCAGAGGAAGTGTAATAATGAAAGGCGAGTCATGCTGCCATGCGCGCTATGGACGGTGGTGCATGAAATTCTCCCCTGAATTTTGTCGCTCCACATGTCACAGGCCCGTCAATTCAAATTTCGCGGGCTCAAATCGAAACTCGCGCCCGCGCGCTTTTGGCATTTCGGCGCGCTTATTGATCTGTGGTTACTGTTGATATTCGTTGCTCGCTGTGCAGGTTATGTTTACAATTTTGTTCAAGTACGACCATGCGTTCGCTCTCTTCTAGTTTTATTTTCTCCAAATTAATAAATTTGAACGTATAATTTTTCATCATACCGTAGTGATCCTCCTTCTCGTCCTCATTCTCTAAAATTTACGACGTGACAGTTGTCGTGTCAGTGCGTGAGTTTCATACAAGTCCACTCTTTAGGTGGAGACCGCAAGTTATATTCAGAATTCATTGACTTTATTTTCTGCAGGAATTTCACATTGAAGCTTTATTTTAACAATGCGTTACGCGCAACTTGTTATTGGTCCTGCTGGTAGTGGTAAGTCCACTTATTGCCACACCATGGCCGTGCATGCAGAAAACGAGAAGAAAGCAGTGTCTGTTGTGAACCTCGATCCAGCAGCCGAGTATTTCGAGTACGCACCCATCGCAGACATCAGAGATCTCATTCTTGTCGATGATGTCATGGAGGATGAAGACATGAAATTTGGGCCAAACGGTGGACTTGTGTTTTGCATGGAGTACTTACTTGAAAACTTCACTTGGCTGATGGAACAGCTGGGAGACGATGATGACGATTATATTTTGTTCGACTGTCCAGGCCAAATAGAACTTTATACTCATATGACAACAATGAAAGATCTTACCAAAGCGCTACAGAACATAAACTTCCAGATCTGTTCTGTCTTCATAGTCGACGCTCAGTTCATGGTGGATGGTGCGAAGTTTATCTCTGGGACAATGGCTGCTCTGTCTGTTATGGTGAACTTAGAATTGCCGCACGTTAATATCCTCAGCAAGATGGATCTACTCAGCAAGTCTGCAAGGAACCAGTTAGATAATTATCTCGAACCGGATCCACATGTTTTGTTAGGTGACTTTCAGACCGGTACCAAGTGGAACGACAAACACTTCCGGCTAACTGAAGCGATAGGGCGCTTGATCGAAGATTTTAGTTTGGTGCGTTTCATACCACTAAATATCAAAGATGAAGAAAATATTGGTGATGTGTTTTTGACAATTGCTAATACAATTCAATATGGTGAAGATGCAGATGTGAAAACGAAAGACTTTGAATATCCTGATGATGACGATGACTGCGATGACCGGGATGAAAGTTTCAGTTAGTGGCTGCAATCTAGCCATCCATTGTTACTCCGTTCACAGAATGTAAGATATTTATTTTAATATATGTTCATTTTTGTTCCAAATTTGGTATATTTTTAGGCCTGTACATTTTTGTAAAGAAGGTTAATAAAGAGGCTATGCCCAGTTTTCTAGTATTTTTTAGCCTTTACTTTGGTCCTATTTTTCTCTCCTTCTGATAGCTACTAATTTTATCTTACCGTAAAACTGCAAAACCATAAAACTTTGGTTGAATTTGCATCCTTATTCTAAAACTTGTGTTTTCAATCGAGGGACTCGGAAAACAGCGCTGAAGTGCAGTTTTTTTTTAAAAAAATTAAGTTATTTATGATTTCAGCTACAACTAGTCTTTAAATATATTCTGTGAAAAATTCACCTTCAAAATACAATTTTTAAGTATCAAAAAAAGAGTTTGAATTTTCACTTTGCTGTAAGGTTCCATATAGGTAATTTTGAAACTTTAAACGCAAATTTCTTGATATAGATAGTGAAAATTGCACTTTTGCTCTTCGTCCTTCAAGCCCCTCAATTCTACAGAATGCTGTGACAGCTGCATTGTTGAAGTTAATGGTTTATCTGGAATAACACTATCGGATTTGAAGTGTTCGATGTTTTTTGACTCCTCTATAATTATGCAAGACTTGCTTGATTATATACAAATACGGAAGGTGCTTATGAAACACCTCGAAATTTTCTTAAGTAGTTTCCTTGGTTAGATATACTTGGTATTCCAAAGATTTGAGCAGTGTCAAGCAAGTAAATTTAGACAAGCAGCTTATCATTAGCCACATCTGCAATTGATTGAAACAAGTTTGAAAATTTTCATGTCGTTTTACTGACAAGGTGGTAATTTTCATGTGTCACCACGCAAATGTGTCCCTCAAAGTAGGGTGAATATATCAGGATTTCTACAAGTTTCTAATGGAAGAGCACTTTAAAATCCAAGAGTATATTAGAATTGCCGAATAAATGAAGCAGCAAAATTTTATTTCCTCTTTGCCAACACTGAAGGATTTGAGGATAACCCAACTTGCTGATAGCTTTAGATGTTTATGGTTATATTAACTCAAATTTATTGCGTCAATAGTCTCAAACGTATATTCCAAAGATGCATCTATTTTTCAAAATTAATTTAGTAAGTAACTGAATCAGACTTGAAATCTTTCAATCTTTTTGCAACATGCTAGCAAAGAGACCCCAGTTCAATTTGTGTGCTTCTGTTCATTATGACTGTATCAAAGCAAAGATTTTAATCTTAGCTCCATGCTACACTGTAAATAATACGTAGGTTGTTTTTTTTTTCATAACAGTACAACATGATACGCTCTTTTGTTTAAAATTGGTGAATGAAATTTTTGGCAATCTTGTGAATTAGTAGGCAGTCACACAAGAAATTGGCTAAAATTTGTATCACTGTCTGAGTACTTCCTGATAAACAATGTAAGCCAAGGGTTCAGCAAGAGAATAACTATTTTTCAAATAGAAGTACAGAATTACTAAGATAACTTTGATTTCAAAATCTATCAAATACTTTTAATTTATTTGATAAAAGTTCGTAACCAAAAAACTGTGATATAGTACCCACCGCGGGCACTCATTGACTGGGGTATTACTTAAATTTGTATCCTGACAAGATTTCTCTAGGCTTTGGAGCCTGTTCGGTAGGTATCTAACAACTCAAAAATCAGTTTTCAATTTTACTTTTGTAAGAAATTGAGAAAGTGGATAAATACCTCGGAATGGCACTTTTCCTTTAAGTCTTATGATGGTTTCCTACTCTCAAAATTTGTATGGCATCAAATTTACTCCAATTTTCATTTAGAAAATCTTAAATTGGTCAAGAATTGCCTTAATTGTTCAGTTTTACTTCCTGATCGAAAACCAGAAGAAATTATAGAATCTACAAAGTAGAGTCCTCAGTATGTATAATGCAGAGGTATTTTTTCTGCTGGCTTATTTTCAGCAAATGTATTTATTTTTTTATTGAAGAAAAAATTCAATCGTAGTCCGGTATCTATTTTAACACCCCAGTAACTTAATGTAATTCAATTTTTTCCCACAAAAAAATCAATTTAAACCGTGAATTTTTGTAGGTGATTTAAGTGTATCAACAAGGTGAATCAAAAATATGTCTCTCGAAATTGTATGACACCCATTTTTAACAGGTTCCTGCAATGACGCTGCTATTATTTTGAAACCTGTGTATTTTGCAGGTGGTCGAGAGTTGCCAGAAGATCTGCGGCAAAAAATTCTTCCTGGAGGGGTCCTCATAGTCAGCAATGTCCAAAAGAATGTAGATGCTGGGGTGTACACCTGCCGTGCTCGAAACAAGCAGGGCCAGATGGGTCAAAGAAGTGGAGAAGTTGTCATCATTGGTACTGTCGAACATTTTTTCTTTATTTCCTCCATATGTAATACACAATCTCTCACATAAATATGTTAAACTCTTCTAGAGAGAGATCTGTACGAGTGGTGTAGGTAATTTGATCCGATAATTCGTTTATTATGTGACAAAGGTCAATTTTTCAAGAACTTAGTATTTGGTCCTAGAATGATGAACAACTTCATCCGGAGAAAGGCTGCTGTACATTTCGAAAGATGACACATAAAAAATTGGGACGCTTCAAAATAATCAAGTACCTACGATTTTGAAATGCCCCAGATTTTTTGTGTGTCATCTTTTGTATTCTACTGCAACCTTTTCCCCAAATGATGTTGTTATTATACTATGATAGAATGATGGTATTTATTTAATCCTAATGAAGGTAGATACTAATAGGAAGACAAAAGCAAGTGAATATTAGGTAGGCAAGAACAGTGTGAAAACGATCCATTAAGTTCCTTTATGTTCCCTCAGATGTAATTTTTTATAATATCAGAACATCATGGACACAGATGGTACTCAGGAACGCACTTCCTATCCTCAAAATCAGATTAAGTACCTAGAGATATTTATTGCGTAAACGATTGAACCATGAGCAGTAAAAAATTTTAAAAAAATTGAAAGGTATCTTTTGAAACACTTTTTGCTTCGAACAAAGTGTGTCCAGGTTGTATTTGTGTGTAAAATGGGGAAGAGCCTGCATATCTATCACATTTACACCCCATGCTTCAGTTGTTTGAGTTAAGTAGCTCTATTTGCATCAATGAATTTACATCCCTCTATTCAACAAAGATCATGACAGTGCCCAGGTAGGTAGGTACCTGCTTCAATACTTAATTCTGGATTGATCACCTCGCTATGGATTATAATCTATCCGTAGGATCAAAAGAGAAGTAATAGGTATTTTTATCCTCATTATTAGACAGTATGTTTGGTCGCCACCTGTATGTACTGATTCGTTTGCTATCTTCATGTGTGTCAAATTTTCTATCAGGCAGGCATTGCTGAAGATAATCGTTCCTCTTTAGAATATCTTTCCTTGCAAATGCTAATCAATAGGTCCCACTCATAATTATTGAACAAAGAAAAAGGAACGATGTACCTTTAAACTTTCCATTAAATTGAAAGCCTATCGTTTTTCTGAAAGAATAAAATTGCCTTCAGGTGCGAGGGCAAGCATAGTTCAAAACATTGAAGCTGCACCTCCTAAATTTGAATAGTCATTGTAGATTCCAGATTTGTGGAACAGAAAAATTTGCGCAACTTTCCATTGGACTTTAAAAAATTATCAATTAATTAATTACTAATTACCAACAAAAAGGAAAATATTGCATAGACGCTCTTTCAATGTTTAAGTTATTTTCTGAAGATGATCATTATTTTTCATTTGTAAGGAAGGTTTCAAAGGTTGAAAATTGGTCTGAAGTTGTGTAAAATTACGGAGATTTTTCTTGGAGAGTCAGGAAATTGCAACATATGATGGTGGTGTAAAAATGAATTTTCTTATGACTTTCAGTTCCTCCTAAGCTAGCTCCAATCGTTCCGGAGCGAGTTTCGCACCTAGGGGAGCGGGTTACCCTAACCTGCTCTGTAACTGTGGGTGACCTACCATTGGAGATGATTTGGTATAAAGATGGGCAGCCACTGGATCCACGGCATCATATTTCTGTTAATAAAATGGATGCGTTCACGAACATCCTCGTGATAGAGCACCTCTCGCCTGACCACAATGGGAACTACACCTGTAACGCTCGAAACCCTGCTGCAGAGGTGCACCACACGCAGCGATTGATCGTGAACGGTAAACGTGTTCTGTTTTTGTTATCCTCTTAATTTGTTCTTATTCTATCTCTGTCTCTACTCTTCTTTCAGTTCCTCCTCTTATTGAGCCCTTCTCTATCCCATCGGACGGACTTGCGGAAGGAATGCGAACAAGAATTGTTTGCGGTGTGAGTCATGGCGACCCTCCGATTACGATATCGTGGCTCAAGGATGGCTTACCCCTTCCAGCCCAGTTGGGCGTTAACGTTTCCACCCTTGATTCTTTTTCCAGTTTACTTAGTATCCCCCATTTATCCTCTGCTCATTCGGGCGACTACACTTGCGTCGCCTCCAACCCAGCCTCTCAAGTCCGATATTCGGCTAATCTTCAGGTGAAAGGTAACCACATTATGCTCAAAGAACGAAAAATCAGACTTAGAGAAGTTTAGTTGATGTTCAGATGCTTTGGCACCTCAACATACGTTGTTATCCAAAGTTTTCGGAATGCACCTCCTGGAATCCCCATTGTTTTCCCACCACAAGGTAAAATTTTGTATCGGCACCTATCTTTTTGTTTCTTAATATATTCCTTGTTTTCTGATCCTTTTTAAACTTTATTTTTTTTTTCGGTGCATGTGTGTCTTTAATTCCTTTTCTTCCTTCAACTTAAAACTTAATCACAGCTTTAAAGTTATTTAAATACTCGTACCCAATGCTAGGTATCTGTAGGTGTAGGTAGATGATAAAAGCCAAAAACAAGGTCTGTGCTAGCAAAACAATGTCTCAATCACAGCTCTATAATCTATATTGTACGTTTCTGCATCAAAATTTTATACAAGAAACGATATACATGATGAGAAGTTCAGAATTTAACTTCTCAAGGAGTTGCTAACCTCACTGCAAACATCAGAATAATATTAATTACATGATACTGTCTTGTTATTATTTATCCATTCAGCAACTGCAAAAAGTAATGTAGAAATTCATCGCTGCAATGTCAATTTTGACAGTATCCTGATACATTTTTGCAACCACTTATCGCAGGGGGTGTGTACTTGTTACTTACGCGATTTGATTGCTTGTTGACCTTTAATATGCTACTCAAAAATTTTGTACCAAGTGGCATATAAATTCGAAGCTCTCTGATGCGAAATTGCATGAGGCAGTTTTTTTATTTGGACTTCTTCCGCCGACCAAATTTCACTCAAAACTTGAATTCGTTCTCTTTTTTTGCATTTAGATTTAAGTAATCCAGTATAATTTTGTTGTTTCATTGAGGAGGATAGTTTTATTTTGAAAAGTAATTATCTGATTGTTGAAAACTTGAATTAGGAACAACTTTATCTCATTACTCTTTCAATGAAGTACCCATTTTTCTTTTTAAAAAGTGATAGGATTGCTGAATGAAAAAAAAATTGGAAGAAACCAGTCACCGCAGAGGAAAGGAGGGCCCTTTATAAATGATTCTGGTAGTTAATGTCAATTTTTTGGGATTGGAATACAGTACTGCAAAATGAAATTGAAAAAAACTTAAGTATGTGGCAATGTTATGAGCAATCTCTAAGATATAATCGTATTTTCTAATCATATACTTATCATTCTTCATCACAAGGAATGAAAATGAAATGACTTTTATCTCACCTGCTTAATTATGACCGATTTCAATCAATGTTTCAATTTCACAGCTTCACTTTTAATCAGTAGAAATTTACCTAGTATTTACGTACTGAAAGATCACCGAATAGATTGCTTCTGCAGTATTGTTAGAAATTCACCGTTAGATCCAGAATTGCTGTAACCCTTCAAACCTTAAGTAAAGACTCAGAAGCATGAGAAGAGAATTTTAAAATCCAAAGTTCAGAAAATAATGGCTCTTGTTCGGAATAGTTTCTATTTACTTAAATTCTCATAAGAATAATCAAATTATCTTCTGCTTTAGTCCATGAAAAATTTACAAGACAAGTTCTCAAGAGCCTCTACAATTAGTATTAAAAATAAAAATAAATTTTTTTTAAAAAATTATTACCCTTGAAGTTTGAAGAGTGACAGTCTATCTGGTTAGATTATAGACTAGATGGTTAATCTAGAATCTTGATCATAGTTCAAGATTTAATCCTTGAGAGTGTTGTCACAAGTTGTTTTTTTAGCAGTTTATTGTTAGCTGTGATTATTGAGTGTTTTGTTGTCAACACTTACGAGTATCTCAATAATTCAGTGTTCACTAGCAGATGTAGCCATCTAACGTCACTCGTGCTTTGTGTGTTTTCATTTATTTTTCTTTATTCAGCTTTTTATTAAAAAGGGCATTGATCCATGATCAGTGTGAGTAGTGAGATCTTGTAGGAAAAATAACGGATAAATATTTCATGAATAAGAAACGTGGTTCATTGATGAACTTGTACTATTTTGCAGAATTTTTATAACTTACTCATCTAACTTAGTCCAACACGATTTTCTTTGAATACACAATTTCCGAGCAGACAAGAAGTTCTCATTGAACTCTCTTCTTACCCTTTAAATAGCTAGTCCGTAGGCTATTTTGGTGCAAGTACTGAAAGTAATCTCTCAGACTTTTTCTTTACTTCACTCATGATAAATTTACCAAAGAACTTTGTCCATTGACATACTTTATTACTTATTTCAATTCTGGCTCCTGAAATTTGTATTGACAACCTAAGATATTATGGATTCTCGATCTACTTGTTTGTGGCGAGCTTTTGCAGCTAAGTAGGGTTGAGAACCATGCCTAGATTTGGGTATTAATTTCAATCACATTAATTTTTTTCTTTTTGTTGACCAGTTCCTCCAAAATGGTCTGTAGAACCCATGGATGTAAGTGTTCTAAGGAATCAACCAGCGTTGTTAAACTGCCAAGCACAAGGTGTACCGCAACCAAGCACCGTTTGGAAAAAAGCGACCGGTAAATAACTTTTTTATTGAACTTATGAGAATGAATTTTTAGGAGCAGATGTTTTTACAACTAATTTTCAACTTACAATTAGTTCACAAAAACCATCGGCAAAAAAGCTTCAATGATTGTTTTTGTTTTGCATGATGATAGCCCATTTAATAACATCACTCAAATATGCGGTTTTACCAGGGCTTATTTTGCTGTTGACTTTTGAATTGATTTTTCAAGTCGGAGTTTCACAAAATGTATGGGAGAGACGACCGTTTTTTAAGTGAAGCATAACTAATAAAACAGGCATAAAATCAAGATGAAGAGAATACAATAAAAAATAGGGGCTATTTGGCGCCAAAGACATTGAATCACGTAGACCGTCCGTCTGGCTCGGCTTAGTACTGGCGGAGCGAAGCAAGTCTCTCAGAGCCCCATGATGGTCGGTGCCACCACTCATCACATGCGAATTTTTAAAAGTTGCTTCGCCTTCCGTAACACAGGATGCACGGTCTACATGATTCAATGTCTTTGTTTGGCGCATATGCCATGATCATTTGAACTCAGTCAAAATCCATGAATAGGTAAGAGAGTGCTGAGCCCCTGTGACATCATGAGTCACATGACAATCAGGCTATCCATGGATGAATTCGAAATATTTACCTGTTTTTAAAGGTCAGTCTCATGACAACTGGTTTTGTCCTTGGTTGAATTAATTTTCAATGTTTCAACTCACAGGCAGCAAATCGGGGGAGTATGAAATCATCAAAGAAAGGATGTTTGTGAAACTTCTGAGTAATGGCTCTTTGCTTTTGCAAAATGTCAAAGAGGACCAAGAAGGCTACTATTTGTGCCAAGCAACGAATGGAATTGGCTCACCCTTGGGGAAGGTCGTTCATCTTAAAGTTAATTGTAAGTACGATTCAATACTATTGGTTTCGTATTTTTTCAATTATTCCTTGTTAACTAATGAAGTTCTTACTCAGGTTGGTATCTTGATTAGTTTGTCTATAATGTTAATTTAAATTATACTGCGCATTGATAGTCAACTTTTTCAAGGGCAAAGAGGATGAAAATGTTAAGTTTTATTGAAAAACATACATTCCATGTGAATATATGTGAAAAAAAAAGGAATATGCAAAGCTTTTTAGCGCCATGACGCTGTTGTGGAGGTCACACGATTTAGAAATCAAATTGCATATTCATTAATAGTTTTCAACTTAAAATATTTTCATATATCTTATGTTACAATATCCAATCGCTTAAATATCATAATATTCAAGCAATTGTGCAAATCAAAAGACCTGATGAAGAGCCGAGAAAAGTTGGGCTGTGTGCTATCGATACGGCAGAAATATCTTTTACTTTTTCTATCCTTACATTAATACCTTTAAATTTTAAATTAATTTGTCATTTTATCAAGTGAGCTCAGACTCCCCCCCCCCAAAAAAAAAATTGAAGCATTTATATTTTTCTTTTTTATTGTTTTTCAGCTCCACCATACTTCACAGAATCATCACAGCATAAAACAGTGAAGAAAACAGACAACGCTCTATTAGAGTGTAAAGTTAAGGGTGACAAGCCAATCAACGTAGTGTGGCAGAGAAGTGGGGAGCAAACAAAAATGAACAGTCTTTCTGACTATCGGTTTGTGCTTTTCCCACTAAGTTTGAATATTATTAATTATATGTTCCTATTAAATATTGCTCACCTCTCTGAACATGGTAGACCTTTAAGCAGTGGCACAGCAGCAGAATGAAAACAATTTGTTCTAAATGTTAGTCATTATTACTGTTTTTGCTCAGTGTGACCAACAACAAGAAGGTCACTTTGACCGGTTTTGCAGTGGACAGTTCAGGAATCAGAACTAGATTTTTCCTTTATTACATTATTTCTGGCTCCAATTACCAATAGTAGTCAAATTTTCAATCGAGAACCATTTAAAAAATTAAAGGAATGTTTTTCAGAGAAATTTCTATTTTTCAATTTTCAGGGTAGTTGTACGACAAGAAGTAACTGAAGATGGAGTCCTAGCAAGTTTGCACATTAAAAATGCTGATGCATCAGACACAGGACACTATTACTGTCAAGCAAGCAACTTGTATGGCAAAGATCAACAGCTTGTGCAGTTACTCGTTCAAGGTAACGACATGAAACCGCTAAAAATTTGAATTCGCTCAAAGAGCCAACTGTGAACCTTAGGATGATTGAAACTAGCTTTCATTCATTTTTATAAATCTCCAATTAAGTGACCAAGAGAAAAGAGATACTTAACTCTATTTAGCTTTTTTGAGATTTCAGGGATAAATCATGCTTGCCCTTATTATTTCTGTTGTAAATTTTGAAACTTAATTTCTCAGAACTGACGCTCAATTTACCTACTGAATTTTTTATACTCATTAAGCCATTATTAAAGAACTCTGCAACACTAATGATTGATTTTTCAAAGAGGGCAACCTTTCTAACCTACTTTGTAATCTTTCTTATTTCTGCGAACTCCTCTTTTCCCAAGAATTCTTCCTATCAATGATCTGATAAGTAAAAAAATTTTACTTTTTTCTTTAATCCGACTTCTACAGCTTCTCCCAGATCTGCAATTTTGCGTAACAAAAATTTTGTAGGCTCAAAAACCTTTCTTTTTGTTTTAGAGCCGCCGAAAAGTCCGAGTAATGTAAAAGCAGTCATGGTCACAAGCCAAGCTGTGAATTTACAGTGGGAGCATTTGAGCGAAGATGTTGGAGAAGTCACAGCGTTCATCGTCCAGTACAAAAGATCTGGAGAAAGTAAGTTGGTTTTTTTCCTCTTTTTCTCAGAATCTTGAGCTCTTCATGTGGCATTCTCTCTACTAGGAAGTCTTCCAATTCTGCCTGATTTAAATTGAAAGGTTTTTAATATTTAGAAGTATAAAAGGGCAGCCATTCTTTTTTTGAAGTGAGATGTAAATTTATTCTCAATAAACATTCAAACAATTTACCTCTTTACGTAGGTCGTAAACCTTGAAAGAAATTAATATCTTATTTGTTTATTCAACGTTTGACAATACAATTCAAAGTTGCAATGCTGAAAGGTCATACTAAGCTTTTGAAAAATAAAATGAAGAAATAAAAGTTACCATTTTTAAATTTAAAAGTTTCAAAAAGAGGGCCTACTGTTAAGTATGCTAATTTTAGTCTTTAATAATTAAACATTGTTTCTCAATAGCAACTGATAAGTGTTCCATGTACAAATGTTCTTTTTGTAGTGCTCTTCAAAATCTTTGACATTTTGCTACGGCCGTAGGAAGAACGTTTGGTCTACCCATGTACATAGGTTAGATAAATAGGCTGAGATATAGATATTACTTTGGCTGTGGACTACGTGATTTACCACAGCAAGAACCTCTCCTCATTGGATCTTCTTCAAACAAATTGATCCCCTGGTATCCTTGGCTTTAGACAGAAGCATCATCATTATTTTTTCAATTTCATTAATAGGTGGTTGGAAAAAGTTGGAGGTGAACTCGCAGCAGAGAGGAGCCTTGATAGACGATTTGAAGCCTGCAACCAATTATCTCCTGAGGGTTATATCCGAAGGTTCTGCAGGACAAAGCAGCCCAAGCAATGAAATATTGATCACAACTGAGTCTCAAAGACCTGCTGGACCACCGCTAGAGGTTTCTGTACGAGCTCTGTCCTCTACGGAACTACTTGTAACCTGGTCGCCTCCACATCCAGACTATAGGCATGGAGAAATCATAGGATATAATGTTGGCTTCAAGGAATCAAAGTAAGCAAACTTCTTCCAATTATCAAATTGTATGAAACCAACTATTTTCCAAATGATGCTGGTGCCAAATTTTTTAAAGTTGAGTTAAATAAGCGTTGCCTTTACAAATATGTATATGCATACATGTGCAGCGGAGTGACGTCAAAGAATATTGAATTAAATATAAAGCTTCATAAAACCTTTGGAATCTACAATTTTCGAACCTTCAGCCAGCCTTGGTGATGTAGCTGTGAAGGTAATTTGCTGCCAGCACTATGATCCTTGGTTCCAGCTCCAGCTGTGACAGGTTTTTAAAGACACTTGAAAATCTGTCATTGTGACACAAAGACCAACTCAAGGCACTCCAATATTGTGTCCTACAAAGAGTGAAGGAAGACTTATTTTTTTTCACACAAGGTCCACTGAGCTTCTTTTTATAATAATTATATGTATATTTTAACGTATAAATACTGCTGTATATTTAAACTTATAATAACGATAAAAAGGAACTTTGTGGACCTTGTGTGAGGAAAAAAATAAAGTCTGTCTTCGTTTAAATATCCTGTGCCGTCTCTTCAGCAGTGTTGCCGGTCCCAAGCCCGAGCTAAGGAAGAGGGTTTAGAGGTAAGGCTAACAACTTGAACCCATTCGCCAGAACCCATTTTGCTCATGGCAGAAGTAAATCAAATACAAAAGCAAATTAAATAATTTAGTGAATTTACACAAAATGAAAGACTACATTTAAATAAATTTAGTTTCAGAATTTCAAGATCTAATTATGATTTTAGTTCCGGGTCATCAAGCTACAATATGACAGAAGTTCTCGGAGATGGTGACAAAGGCACAGGGGAGCACGTTTTTACCGACTTATCAAAATACACCAGATATCTAGTGGTGGTCCAAGCTTACAATTCAATTGGACAAGGACCTCTCTCAGAACCAGTAAACGCTCTTACTTTGGAAGATGGTAAAAGAACTTTTCTCAAGTTTTTCCTCTTATTTAGTGAAAAATACTACAAGGCAAAAAAACTCATTGAAACTTCTTCGTAAAGACATTACCATATTGTTCGTTTCCCTCTTTGCGAGAACGTTCATATCAGTAGTGTTAAAATAATTTGCATTTATTATCCTAAATTCTTCATTGAATTTTGTATCTCCCCCTTTGAGTAATAAAAACTGAATATTAATTTTGTAATAGTATAAGAATTTATTACAGTCAATTTTTTCTGTGATTTTCTGTTCTAATAAAGGTCTCTTTTCTTTGAAGATGTAATCGAGTGTTTTGATGTTTGATGTACTAATTGACCCTGACTTTTATTCTTTTTTTAGCTCCCAGTGCTCCGCCTGAAGATGTACGCTGTGCAGCTTTGAGTTCACAATCCCTGCAAGTGAGTTGGCAGCCTCCCCCTTTATCTCTCAGCAATGGTCTCATACAGGGCTACAAAATTCTCTATGACTCTCAAGACCCAGGTATGTACCCTGTCATTAATTTTTTTAAAAAATGATGAATTCAAGTTTTCTTCGTACACAATTTTAACTCAAAATACTTGTGAACCTGGTTCAAAAAAAAATCTGGACGTATATTCTGTCCGAGATGGGAAGAATCGCGGAAATTGGGAATTAATTGCACTATGTAGAAGCAAGGGTAGCGTTCGAGCCATTGTCCGCGATGAAGCACCGAACCAACCCTGGACCGTGGCGCACCGCACAGAGGGCTGGCTCCTCACGAGTCGCGCCGCTCGGCGCTAAGCACCCGGGATTCTCCGCTCCAGGCTCAAGTCGCGCCCGGGGAAAACCGCCACTCCGATGCCTCAAACGAGCTGGATCGCTGATGAACACTTCCAGACTTCTCATTGGTGGATGAAAGTCCATCGCTGAGCTATATAATGATAACCACCTTGCACCGGAGTTGCACTTGCATTCAAAACGAAACTGGAGCATCATCACCCAAATATTGAAGAAGATCGTGAAAAGCGTCAAGTGCTTCTTTCACAAACCCGTGAAATTTTGGATCGCGTCATCCAATACTTCGAACAGGAGAAACAGAATAAGGGACCTTTGCTTGGTGTCTTCAAGAAGAAGGTGCACAAGCACTTGGTCTTGGATTATCGACAATTAAGAGGATCAAGAAGGAAACTCATCTGGAGGCGACCCGGCAGAAACCCAAGTTCTCAACACCTGGAAAGAAACGCCCAGACAAGAGCATGAAACTGGACAATTTCGATGCAGATGCTATACGGAGGCATATTTACGCTTACTATCAAGATAAAACTTTGCCAACTTTAGACAGACAACATAAATCTCTGTCTGAGGCTAATCTTCTCACTGTTTCTCGAACTAAGCTTCACACTCTGCTGAAGAAACTGGGATTCATCTACAAGAAATTGAACAACCGAGTGGTGCTCATGGAGAAACCGGCTATGGCTCTGCAAAGATGCTTCTTTTTGCGAACTGCTCGTAAAATTGACTGGAAGAAAGCCATTTTCCTCGACGAAACATGGCTGAACAAGAACACATGTCCAACTCGTGGCATCTCTGATGGGACCGTAAAGGCTCACATCAGTGACCCCAAATTGGGCAAAGGAGAATGGCTAATTATTTGCCATGCCGGAGGAGCTTCTGGGTGGATTTCTGCACCTCCATTAGTTTTTTCCTCCAAGAAGACCGTGGACTATCACGAGGAAATGAACGCAGAAACGTTTGAAAAATGGTTCCTCCAAACGTTACTTCCAGCACTTGCACCTGGCTCCACTACCATAATGGATAATGCGCCATATCATTCCTGTGTCAAGGACAAAGCCCCGACGAAAGCAGCGAGGAAAGCCGTCATCATAAAATGGCTACAGGAGCACAATGTGCCATGCTCTGAAAAAATGCTGAAGTTAGAACTTCTGGAATTAGTCCGAAGCACTAAACCACCAAGACCTTTGTACGTCCTTGATGAGGAAGCGAAAGCTCTAGGTTTCCAGGTTCTCCGTTTACCACCCTACCATTGCCATTTCAACGCCATTGAAATGGTATAGGCATGGTTGAAAGGTTACGTCCAGAAACGTAATACAACCCAAAACCTTGGAGATGTCAAAGGACTGTTCCTAGAAGCAGTTGACAAATTTTCTGCCGACGACTGGAATTCTTACGTTGAACATGTGAAGAAGGTCGTTGAAGCGGCTTGGGAACAAGGAGGACTGGCAGATGTGGAGGTTGAACAGTTCTCAATTCATTTGGGCGCTGATGACGACGACGATGATGACGAATTTGATTGGTCCGGCTCTGATGATGACTCTGAAGACGAAGTAATGGACGAGAACCTTGGAACCTTTTTGAAAGAAGACTTTCACAGCCATGGAGTCAAGTTCTTGCCCCCGATGAACAAAGAGAACAACAATTATCAATTATTGTCACTCTAATATAAAACGGCCCTCTTTAGGGCAACCAAATAATGAGCATATTTTTCTCCATTCCTCCTGAAGATACTTTGGGTAATGAGATTGTTCTCTTGAAAATATATCTCAAGTTTAGCGCTTTCAATTCTTGGCTAGAATCAGGGGGTATAACTCACAACAGCGCAGAAAAACTTGGAAACCATTGTACAGCAGTCGCAACTATAATTCATAGACGTAAGTCATAATATGGACTGCATTTTGCAATTTGGAACTATAAAATCCGACCCGGTTTAAAAACAACGTATGTGCCATTAGTTTCCCTATGCACATAAGTGTTTTTTCAAACGAGCCGGAATTTATAGGTCCAAATTGCAAAATGTAGTCCATATGAGTAAGCAGAAATGGACTACATTTTGCAATTAGGAACCATAAATTCTGGCCTGGTTTAAAAACAACGTATGTGCCATTAGTTTTCTTATGCACATAAGTGTTTTTTTTGATGAGCCAGAATTTATAGCTCCAAATTGCAAAGTGCAGTCCAAATGTACTGAGTGCATGTGCCGCGTGCCGACCGTGCTGGCCCGTAGCCTCCTGTGCGGCGGCTGTGGCGTGAGCGGAACACCGAGAGGTGACAGTTGACAAGGGTCGAGACACCTCCACCCTGCAAAATAGTGCAATTAATTCCGAATTTCCATGGTTCTTCCCATCGCGGACAGACTATAGTTCATGTATTACTGTTTTGCCTACTTAAAATCTTCCTCGCAATTTTTTTAGAGATGTTAAATCTGGTTCTAGGTATGTATAGAGGGGAGGCGGAGAAATTTTTTCTGGCCTCAAGTTTTTTCTTTAATATTTTTATTTTCACAGGCAGGCAAGCAGATTTGCTGTATCTTAGGTGTGAAAAATGTTACTAAAAGAAAAAAAAATATGATAAAGAGGCTGTTATTTCGTTTGCCTTCAGTGGCGTGGCATGCTTTGCGATATATAGATTGATCTGCCATTTAAACCTATGGAAAAAGATCGATTAACAGGGTATTCGCAGCGAACACCTTAATAATCGATTCTCTACCATAGCTACAAATGGGGAAGTATCGATAATCGATCATTGACGCCACGCCACTTCTTGCCTTATTTTTGGATATTTCTATATGAACTTGAAAAACTTCTGAAAAATTACCATTTTTCAGGAATATAATTTCTATAAAATTTTGGACAAAATCAGACTTGGGTAGATCTCTTTTCTAAATTGATGAATGATATCACTAATAATTTCTCATCCCAATCAATTTCTCACAATTTCCGAAATCTTATTCAATGCCTGATCTTTTTCTGACCCCAGTATGTTGTGTTGCAGGAGCTGATCAACTTGAAACAAGGAAAACAACGGCCTTAACTATTGTGGTATCTGGATTAAGGAAATTCACCAACTACACTATTCAAGTTTTAGCGTTCACAAAAATGGGCAGTGGTCCGTACTCGTACCCTCTTCCATGCACTACTGATGAAGATGGTAAGTGTCTCTAATGCAACATGAAACTCCAAGTATTTTTTTGCACTGCAAACTATACCAGAGGATTGCACGTGAAACGGAGGTATGGAAACGAAAGGAAATTTTGCTTTTGTTAGATGTGGTGCTCTGCACAACCTCATAAGCTTTAATAATGACATTTCTTCTCTTTTTTTAAGATTTTGTGACAAGTAAAATTGGAAAGTGAATCTTTTAGCTTTTTTACATGTACACTGTCTCCTATGACATTGTTGCAACACAGCATTTATGATCAGAAAGAGCTTTCCTTTCTTGTTCCTAGACTCTTGAGTTGAAATGAACCAAGCAAAAACAGCATGCAGCTAATTTATCTCTCCAATTTACCAAAGAAAAGCATGTTTAAAACCAAACACAGTAACAATGCAGCATCACTCCTAGGAAACCCATGTAAAAACACTGAAAATGTATCTTTCAAACCCTGATTTATTTCTTTAAATTAGCACATATTAACTTCAATTTTCCAAGCTTAACATAGCAAGCTAATCGCAAGTATAGCTAAAAAGCGAAGAGCATCACATAAAAAAATTCATAATTGAATCAAACTTGTTCAGCCAAATCAAAGAATTTGAGATGAAAGTTTCAAACCAGTCAAAATCTACGAAGTATCTTGGTCAGCCTGGGTGATCTTTACTGTTTAAGGCTGATAATTATAATTTATTCATTGCTTCGGTATTCTCAGTCTGAATGTAACTGATCCTTGAGTTTTCTTTAACTAATTCCCGTCTTGCATGTACTTTCCAGTTCCTGGGGCCCCAGAGGATATAAAAGTCGTTTTAAGCTCAGCTCATTCTCTTCTTGTCTCCTGGCTTCCACCCAAAGAGCCAAATGGAGTCATCACGAAATACAACTTTTACACTCGGTAATGAAGCTTTCTTACTTTTCTATAATCAAAGCGTTAAGTTCAAAGTTGGGAGGAAAAGGTAGCTTATATTTTACTTCTGCCTCTGTAAAAATTAAACTTGCATCAAAAGCATACTAATTCTTAATTATTTGCTGCAATTTACTTTAATTTTATATTATAACCAATTGACCTCCTTGAAATGTTGTTTTTGTTTACGTTGTTACATGAGGAAGTGTGTAAAGTCATTTTAATGAGAAATATTCCCTATTAAAATAGATTTACTGCATCCATATGACATTGCATGAATATCGTGTTTCTCCATGGTTTACCGGCTACACGATGGGCTGTAAAATGGCGTCAGCAAAAGTGTGGGTTTTTTGTTCATCTATGCATTAAGAGGTTTTTTCAACTGTTAAATTGTTTTAGCCTCCACCAAAAAGTTTCTAGAATTGTATTTATTCATTCACAGAGTCGTCAATGGCAACAAGGAAGAGTTGAATCATGCAAAGCGGAACTTGCCGAGCCAGCAAACGCATTTTGAAGCAAAAGGTCTACAGCAACACATCGAGTATCAGTTTTGGGTCACAGCCTCGACAAAAATCGGAGAAGGCCAAAGCTCTCGAGTTGTATCTCAAATGCCCACGGCCAGAGGTAAGTGTAGAACATGTTAAATACATACTTCATTTTTATTTTGCCCACTATTGTTACTCCTGAAATTTTTTCCATACCTATTGTTTATATCATCTCTGAAAGTTCAAATAGCAAGTGAAAATTCATTAATAAAAATCAAAATAAGCCCAAAAAGTGGGAAAGATTTGGTCAAGTGCAAGTTTCAATTACAGTTGCTCTAACTGTGGATTATTTTTTTTGTAAATATTAATATTGACATCAAGCACTTGAAATTTAACGGGTGTTTTATTTGGGGGCAAAAAAGGGGGTAGGGGAGTTTTACAGCCCTCTGGGTAATATTGAATCCTAGACAAGTTGAACTATTTTGATAATTTTTTCATCCTTGATTTCAGTGCCAGCCCGGATTTTCTCATTTGGTCGAGTTGTTTTTCGAGCGTGGCGAACGTCCGTTACTCTGGCTTGTCAGATGGTCGGGGTACCTCAGCCGCATCGCACTTGGCTGGTCGGAGATAGGCCTCTACATTCCAACGGCCATAATATTCAGATCTTGGATTCTGGAGAACTGTTCCTCACGAACCTCCAAAGGAATAACTCTGACAACTACACGTGTCAAGTTGAGAATGTTTCAGGCTCGGACAAGATCACTCACACTCTTGTCATTCAAGGTATTCCGTGTCTTTTGATATGTATTGATAATGTAGTCCTCCATTTTCAAATGATTTCATCTCTATTTAGTGGCATCTAAACTTTAAAGTAAAAAAAATCTTGAATCGGGATTTTATTTTTGTACCACTCTTGTAAGTAGGTTTCTATGTTGAGGAATTTCTAAGTTTTAAAAAAATGGCCAAGCTCTGTGGGATGTAAGGCTAGTTTATGATAGACACTTGCAAGTAAGCCCCAATTTTTTCTCGATTTTCTAAGCTCAAAATTAGGGTGCAGCTCATCTGCAGAGCTCAATAAATCTTTCATACTTATCAGGTGGTTTTTTACAAATTATTTCCTTTCTACTGAAAATTCTCAGTAATTAAACATCATTAAAATACAGACAAAGAGAAGTTAGGTAGGTGTAAANGGGACTTTTCCTCATCCGTAGCCGCTATATCAAAAAAACCGCAAAAAAAGGCCTTTTTAGGCCATTTTTTCAAAATAGCGGAAAATGCTCACCAGATACGCCTGCGGAAACTTCAGATTCGGATTCAGCGACCCAAAAAACATAAAGTAAGCCAAAAAAATCGCTGTGTACCCAAAATTCCAGGTAGCCTCATTTTTAGCTACCAGGCGCCTGGACTATACAGACAAAGAGAAGTTAGGTGTAAAACCTTATTTTTCAGCTGTCACTCTTATGGAAATGTAAAATTGGGGCTCACATATAGCAATGCAGTTGCACTACTTGCAAAACATCGTTTCCATAGTTTAAGCATTTTATTGTGTATTTTCTAAGAGTTCAGGGGAAATCGGCAGTTTTTTCTATGTAATAATCACAGTTTAAAGTTATTAAATGTGAAATACTGATGCTTCCTTTACAGTATTGCCTGCAGCTCCTGTATTGTATGTCACAAGTGCTACTAGCAGCAGTATTCTTCTGCACTGGAAAGTCCCAGACAGAGGTGGTGCACCTTTAACAGGCTTTACCCTTACATATCGCATGGCTACTGGTGAACCGCAAGACATGCCTCTGTCAAGAAAAACCACCAGCTACGAATTGAAGGTTTGTTACAAAATTTTTTTCTTTTCTTGCCTCCTACGAAACAGCAATTGAGAGTTTAAGTCAAGAAAAATGGACAGACTGGAAACCAGAATCACCTCAATTATCAAGAAAAATAGTTTTAACTTCACTCAATGTTTAATTGTTTTAGTGAGAACTTATCAATTGAATGTCCAATACTAATCAAATAAATAATATCATACTCAATAATATAAAATCACAAGAGTAATGCCTGATGCATGAAGCGGTCAAGGGGTTTAGCCCTCAGTTCTAATGTAAATATTGTGTCGGAACGATGGATTTGAAATCTGGGAAAACCGGCTGAGAAGAGAAAAAAAAAAAAATTAAACGCTTTGCTAGAAATTTCTGGCATTTTCAATCCAAACTAAAGCTAAAATATGAGTGCATCCATCACTGGTTCAGAACACGAAGCACTGATAGATTGCTTAACTTCGACACCACAACATGATAAGGAGAGATAATAGAGTAGCCTCTCTCATACAGCACAGTGGAAAATCCATTTTTGGATAAGTTTCCAGGCTATATTTTAAATTCTTTTTTATAACGTATGGAAACTCATTAGTATGGCGAACAAAATCTACTAAATTTGATGTAGCTCAAGAAATGCTTCATCCTCTTGTTCAAAAAAAAAAAAAAATTTTTTTTGCAATTTCTTAACTGTTGCCTATCAGTGTACATTATACAAGCTTGTAAAATCAGAAATATTTGTTGAGTTTTATTTTGTCTCTTCTGCCCAGAATTTACTGTGTGGGAATGCCTATCAGTTAACTTTAGTTGCTCACAACAAACTAGGAAGCTCAACATCGAGTGCTGTGATTTACGTACGAACTCAAGGACAACATCCTGGTATTCCTGAATACTCCGAGTTCATTTTTCCTAACTCAACTGCCGTCACACTCAAACTTCCCGCCTGGCCAGACAATGGGTGTCAGATCCAGCGTTTTACGATCCGCTACCGCTCAGTTAACGACATAGAGTGGGCCAGAGGTAATTTATCCATGGAACTATATTTCCCCCTTGTAATTGATGTAATTGCTATTGATTTTGAACAATAAGGAAAAAACCAAAAAATCATATTGTTACTTTTGTAGTAACCTCATTAATGGCAATTTGATATTTTCTTGAAAAGGTTACCTGTAACATTTACTCAACAATCAATTTCTTTTCTGGAAATACAGGCAAGGAAAATAAACAGAGTACTATTGGTAAAAATTTGTCTGAAAAAATCATGAAAGATAAGCACTTTTAAAGAGTAGATAATCTTGAATTGATAACAAGTGCATCTACCCAAAAAGGTGGAGGTTTACCCAACCACAGTCTTCGGGCCACTTCTTTCTGTTTTTTTTCTCATTTACCCAAAAGTTTGTATTTAAAATTGAAGTGAAGATTTAGAATGCCTCGAAAAATTTTAAAAGAAAATCTCTTCCTCTTTATATATGAAGAACAAGTGTAACCGAATCGCTGAGGTGTAAAATTTTGCCCCTCATTTCATGGCGTCAACAACTGATCCTCCTCTCTTTTTCTATTCCAACTGTTTTTCCATTTTTCTTCAGTTTCATCTTTTGGATACATGCCAATATTTTCTTTCCTGCACCTTTATAGCTTCTCAGACTTTTTTCTGTAATAATCAGAATTCATGCAAGATAGAATTTCACTGAATTAAGTTGAACATATTTTAAAATTTGAGTTGACTACTGACAAGACCACTGTTTGACAATCCAAAAATGAAATTTTCCTGAAATGTAAGAAATCTAATGAAAGGTTTTTCTCATTCTAGAGTTTCCTAACGTCAGAATGAAAATGAAGTTTGTGATATCTGGCCTGGTGCCGTCAAGTGAGTATGTGTTGCAAGTATACGCTGTCAATCTTGCTGGCTCCTCTGTCGGAGATTTCACTTTCTTCACCTTGAACAAGGATGGAGGTAAGGATCTAAGCTCTGTGGATAGTATTCTTGAGTAGAGGAGTGCATAAAATTTCAACAAGTCTTCATTTATTTGAGATCTGACAGAGTAATGGTAGTTTAACCAGGAAATGAGTGCAATAACCTGCTTTTAAATGTGCGAAATCAATTTTCGTTATGTCAACCGATTCCTTTATTATTGAGTATTTGGAAAAGAGAGAAATTTAGCTTGTATGCCCGTATTATTCCACGCATTATACAATGCTGTTAAAATGAATTGTGTCTCATTGAGAAACAAATTTTGAGTTTGATTTCCAAGTTTAGGTTCTTCAAAAGTCTAAATGTAAAGCCCCAAAAACTCACATCAAAGGTGAAACGTCAAAAATGCGTATCTTGCTTTGCAGCACTGCAGACTTCCTTCTATAATGTATTTTTTTAGTGAAGAAATAACTCAATGCTATTTCTTGAAAACTTTAAACAAGACACGGAAAAAAAAGAATTGCTGATTCAGCAATTCAATTGCTAAAAACAGTGAGTGCAATGTTTTTTGCAAGCATTTTTTTGTTGTAAAATCTGCGTTGAAACATTGCAATCAGTGTTTTTAGCAATTGAATTGCTGAATCAGCAATTCTTTTTTTTCCGTGTAGTATCTGCTCTTTTTAAGGGTAAATAAAATGGGTGCAGAGATTTAAAACACTACGAAGGAGATTTTGCAGTTTCATTGCTGACATGTAATACTTTCATCGGATGTTTCCAAAATCTATTAGTCTAAAGTTTTAGCAGAAATCCGTCTATTAAAATAATTTTGCTTTTGTATCAAGTGTTCTCATTTTTTTAAGAGGAAATACAATTTTTACTTAAATTTGACTAATGTTACTGTGGCTTTTTTAATTTACAGAACCACTGCCTCAAGCAATCCTCAAACATGGTCATCTCTCAGGGTCATTCTACGCAGATTTTAGAATTTTAATCTCTTTACTTGCCTCAGTTTTGGTTTTTCTCGCCATTCTTAGTGTCTCCGTTTTCTTCTGGAGAAATAGTAAGTTATTTCACCTATCTGTAGTTAATATATGCTTCTGAACAAATCAATTGAAATTTCCCAGGGATCTCGGATATTGAACTATAGTTTTTTAGGCCTTGAAGTCGTATTACAGATTTCAGAATTTTCAGAACAATTCACACATAGACTTCAACCTTTTAACTCGTTTGACAAATCCTTTCTCCTGTAAAAATTCTGCAAGTTTTTCCTGTGAAATTTTCTTATTCATTGAGCCAAAAATCATGCTCAGATGAATACTTTCAGTTGCACAGCATAATCTTTCAATCTTTCTTCTCCCATTTAAGGGAGTGTTCAAAGGAGTCAAACCCAATTTAGATGGTCAAACTTTTCGTGCGACAAAAGCGATCAAAAAGTCAGATTGAAAATTGGATTTGAAAAAACTTGATTCAATATCCGATGTTATCTGATATCGTTATAACAACGAAGAGACTTGGGCATTTGGGTATCTCCATCAGCCTCTGGTTTGTTAAGGTACAACTTGGGTAATGTCGATCAGAAGATTTCGTTGGATGAAAAATTGGAGCTGCCAATTAGGCGAAAGGTTGAAAGTGACGTCACAATGACATTTCCGTTTAACTTTTTATCTGAATGTTGTAATCTCGTGTCAGTATCACATGGATGAAAAATTTGTCCGCCTGAATGGACCACTGGACAAGGTACAAAGTTACGCATTCTGTTAAATGTTTCTGAACCAAATTTAAACAGAGAACACGATTCGTGCAACAGAAATTACTGAAATTAACTCCTAACTAAGATATTTGATGTTTCTTGATGCGTGAATTCAAACTTCCTGCTCATGAAAACGCAATGATCTACGTGAGTCAAATGGCACACTAAACTTTACCATGATAATCTTTGCGATATGAAAATTTGGCAACCTCAATCTTAACGCTTTGGCTCAGCTATAGCAAATTGTTCACACTTTAAATGATAAAGGGTGGGAAAGGAACAACGTTCGATTGAGAAGTCTGCCAAAATTGATGTAAGGCGCGATTAGACTCATGCCGAGAATTGCGTTTTTTGTGACCGGGCAATTCAAAATTCCCGTAACCAATGTAAAATAAAAAGTTCATATCTTAGTAAGAAGTTGATTTCAGTAATTTTCAATGCAAGAATCGTGTTCTATGTGAAATTTCAAGTAAGCAACATGTATCAGAATGCTTAAATGCCTTGTCTAGTGGTCCATTGGGCTTTATAATCTAAAGAACGAACAAAGTAAGTATTTTAACTCTTTCTGGTGCAAGGTATATACAAATCATTTTGTATTATCTGAGAAACATCTCTATTCAGCACGATTAATGAAGTGAATGCTTCTACTTTTTCTTTTCTTTTTTTTTAAGGAAAGAAACTCTCATACCAATTCTTGTTTTTTACCTTAAATGATCACCGTCCAAGTTTTAGTAGAAATATGATGAATGTCTCGCTAGTCATAATTTGACTCTCCATTTATTCAAAAGAATGCATTTAACTTGCCAGTGTGTCCTTGGTTTAATGAATCTACTTTCCTTCCATCAGAAAAAGGCCAACCCATGAAAGAATCTTTGGACAATCAGCAAAACTCGCAAATGCAGAGGGAGCGTTACTATGCAACCATCCATAAAGTGGCCATGCAAGAAAAGGTACCTGGTAAGTATAGCTTTAGTACCCAGATAGAGTTTGTCTTTTTCGTGTGAAGATAACTTCAGGAAAACAAGCCAAAAAATTCATGATGATATGTTATATGAGAAGTATTGTGCTCTACGATAGCAAAGAATGGCTTTTAACGATAGAAACATAAGATTTGTTCAGGACACCTGAAAGTGAATTTGGTGAAGTACTTTTTTTAAGAAAAACCAACCAAGTATGGAAACTGATTTTATATTTTATGTTTTTTTTTACCTCTTTTAGAAGGCTTTATCCGTAGATAGCCGTATAATAGTAGATTAGTTGTATAATATATGCTAGCTTTCTCTTGACATTGAAATGAAATGTAGTAGCAGCACCTCAGCCACACCCCAAATGTGTACTTACTAATTTGGCATCAGCTCTAATTTTTTTAATTTCTCGTTATTTAGAAACGTCGGATGACATATCACCTTATGCGACATTCCAGCTCACCACAGAGCCAAACAATACGCTTCTTCATAGTTTTATGTACCATGAACGGGGCATGACAGAAGGCTGTGCCTCTCCTCCACCTCACGCTGTAAGTAGAACTTTTTAAGAGAACATGAATGCATGTTTCAACAGGCACTGGATTTAGGTTCCCTAGTTTTTTTTTACGCAAAGCTGTTAAATTATTATTTTAATTTGCAACTTAAAATGAGTCGAAATAAGTCTAATCAGTGTTATAAGTCCTCATTAAGTGCATTATAATGCATTTAATGCACATACTTATTCTCATGTGAAGATTTGGAGCTTGACTCTTAAAAAGAGAAAAAAACAAGCAGTGAACTCCAACACAATGTGTTGATAAGGCGCGTCATTAACTCGCACATATCAACCCCTTTAGTTTTCATTTACAGAGATTTCAAAATAGGCAAACAGCATAAAAAGAGAATTCACGATCCAACACTGCGAGGTCAAAGACGCACCTTGACGAGACCGTGTATTGTGAAAGTAGAAAGCTATTCGATCGAATTTAAGTTTTTTGATCTGCCTCAAGCAAAATCTTATCAGATTCTTGAAGAAAAGTGCTACGGAATAATTTAAGCGAAGAAAGGAAAAATTCTGTCGAACTCCTAGAAGATAAAGTCGATTTAAAGGTATTTTGGGGCTAAAATACCCAAATCACCGGTAGTAAAAATCCCGTTATATTATTGAAAAGAAATTGACTCGATATAAATGCAATTGCATTAAATACGTCTTGATTTTGTTATTTTAAACGTCTTTCCATGCAAAGAAGTTCAACCATGTCGTTGCTTTATTCATTCATGAATTGAAAGTAAGCAATCTACATCCCGAAAATCTACTGATTTGCCGTAAAAAATTGCAGAAACTTGATATACCAGGTCGATGCACCCACTCGTTGAATTTACCAACCAATTTTGTGAGTGCAAATGTGTAAGAATCAATATGCTATAGTCATTTTGGGTGCATTTATTTTTCATGAAACAATAATAATTTCAATCCCGAAAAACCATCAATTTTCCGTATAAAATCGAAAAAATCAAAATATGTCAACTCCCCGACGTGAAAATTAGATTCTACGTATGTAAAATGTAAATACTTATGTATCGATATGCTGAACAGAACTATGTGTGGACAGTCAGAAGCCCGCGGCAACATTAATTCAACAGAAAAACTGTAAAAATTAGATAGGATTTTAGCCGCTTTGCCCGCCTCTCCTCGCTACTTACAACAAACCGTTCTTATACTCATCTCAAAATTTTTCTCAGAGCTTTGGGTTATTATCAGCTTCCATTTAAACTCCGGTTCGATGGCCGAATCGGCTGCCAAAAAAGCAAGCCACTGTTGAGGGGTTCTATGAGAAATTCGTGATATTATCGGCTCTCAGGAAATCACCCCATGGCTAAAATTGGTGGTATAAATGTTTAAGTGCTTAAAATAATCGTATTCAAGAAACTAAGGAATTAAACTATGGAGTCAATTTCTTTTTAATAATATAACGAATTTACTACCGGTGATTTAGCTATTATAGCCCCAGAATACTTTTAAAGCGCCTTTGCGTTCCAGAATCTCGACGGAATTTTTTTTTTTTTTTTTTTTGCTTAAACGATTCAAGAAACATTGTAGTTAAAAATATAAAGATTTTTCGATTTGGACGTATGAAAAATGTTTAACTCGTTCAGGCACACCGTGTATTGTATGGAGTACTGCTGTTATTCGACCGTTGTCTTCAGGTCAAAATTCTTACAAAGAAGCCCCTTGCAAGAGGCAAATTTTTTGTAATTTCTCCCAGTTTTTTCAGCGTTAGGTATATAAATGAATTGTTTGTCAAATTTTGAGGTCAATTATATTTAATTGTAATTTATACTTTCTTTTTTTCCCCTTCATTTTATTTTTCGTATCGAGGAGTCGAGGTTTTGTTGATTTCTTCGGATTTCGATTACTGTAACTTCTCTTCTATTCGGCCGATTTTTATGAATGAGGTCTCTTTTTATTTGTGTTTTAACGGAGAGTAAGGAAAAAATTGCTAAATACATGCGAAACAATTTTTTTTGAAAATTGGATGAATCCTAGCGTGACGGTGAAATGGTTAATGAAGCGTGAGTAATTGGGGTACGGGTATCGGCCGCGTTGGGACCCAAGGCCCATTGTTCTTCGTGACGCCGACGCAGTGATCAGGAGCGTGGGGACGAGAGGGCTTAGTGGACTCCTGTATGAGCCACGTTTAGCAAATGGTCTAATGAGTCTCGAGGCTCATCACAGATTGCACTTACCACTATCCTGGTGGCCCCGGCTATCAGAGCAAGGAGTACCAACTTTTGAAAAGGATAACAGTGTTGTGGAGATATGTCAAAGCAACGTTGTGAACAAAACGGAGTGAGTGAAATTCTCATTCAAGGAGTGCCGAACTGGTCAGCCATCCTCGAATCAGTTCGCTTGCTTCCGCTTATATATGCATATTTTAAATCAGCGCGCCCCATTCTAAGGTTTTTTTAAAAAAAACCAAGAAACGTAGACTCTTGGTATTCATTACACATAAACTAGCGAGCCCCAGAATGAGAAACAAATTTTAATCATTATTATTGACGGATTAGTAAACTTTTTACACGCTTTGGAAAATCTCAGAAGTTCGCGGTAGTCACTTTTCGGTAAGGAACTAGGGGACTCGGTTATTGTATCGAGGGGGGGGTCGAAACGATCGCAAAGGCGGTATACTACGTATACGCGCCAAAATGTAATTTACAATGAATAATTAGTCTCATATAGTTCAATCCTTCGGCAAATGAAGGAGGTAAGTGACGTTTGCAGGGTTTTTGGCAGTCTAGAAAACCTGGAAAGTAAGGAACTTGATGATGACGTGGAAAAGTCAGGCAATTCGAGGAAACCCTGCATTTGTTTAAAGCAATTCGAGTTTTCATGAGTTTAAACAAAACTTGTTGCCAAACAAACTTTGAAAAAAAAAAAATCAAGGAAAAGAAATGACTTAGAAAACTAAATTTTCTCAATAAAAAAAATGTTACTCACCTTAATACTTATATACAGCAATCTTGGAATGCCAAGTTTTACATCTGTATTTGCAGAGCGAATTGCACCAAAAATAAGACCCAAAATATCTTGATCTTAAAGACCCAAAGACCATCAAGACCCATACTCTCAATTCATTATAGGCCTCAGTCACTGCTGATTAAAAACATACATTATTTCTAGGTAATTTGAGTGCTCCTTATTTTCGCTAATTTCAGTTTTATTCTTCTTTTGTCTCCCCGCAGATAGCCAAAAGTCGGAGAATGAGGAGAGTGAGCTGTCGAAAAAATGACGCCGAGTCAGATGATTCCGACTCGGATGGTGATCCATTGACATCAAGTCGTACAGAATCTTCAAATCAATTAGAGACTGCTAAAGTTAAGCACACGTCTAGTGAGTACAATGTTCAGTTATTTTTACTCTCCTCATTACGAGAGATTGAATACCTAGCCAAGTTTGCATTTACTCAAATATTTTGCAAAGACAGATCTCAGCAACCAATCCCAACAACCTCTCTTTATCTTCACTATGGTTCACAGTCTATAATGTGTAACATCAGAGTGCAGAGCCCCTGTTTCTTTCAACAGTGCTTTTACCCTTGGTTGTTGTATTTGGCCGTTAACCTGTTCAAATTATGCGTTGGAAATATTGTTTAACTGGAAGAAAGTAGGATAAAAATCCATGACGTCTCCTATTCTGCTGTGCTAACTAAAAAGGCCGTAAGAGCATTTGAATAGTGCCAAATTTCCCCTCAGAAAGGATGTATTTTTTGGGGAGGTAATAAATATCTCTCCTTCAACTTTTTGAATACTTTCAATCAAATTGGGTATCAAGTTCGTGGAAAACATGGGTGAGAAATATTAATGATTTTTTTTTAAAAAAATTGTATTTTATCAAACAAAATTTGGCAACATCTGAAGGTTTATATGGCATTCTTCCTTATCAGAGCAATAATGCAGAAGCTCACTCTCAAAGAGCACCTAAATCACTGGTTACTTTCTTCACGCCTACTTATTTATCAAGCAAAATTGTAATCGAAAAAAATAAATGTTATAAAACCACATTTGAGGGGCTTGGAGGAAAAGGTGCATATTTTAAGTTTTTTAACAAATTGAGATAACCATGATTTCAAATAACTTAATGCATGTTATGTGAAAAATGTGCTCCATAATTTCAGTTTTTAAGCATCAAAAAGTCAATTTGAACTTTCTTTTCTTCATGAGGATCCATGTAATCTCAAAACTTCAAACTCGTATTTCTTGAAATGGCACAAACTGCACTTATGCGCTTTGTCTTCCAAGCCCCTTATTTTAATTTTAGAAAACCTATAAGAGAGAGAGAGAGATTTTAAAAATTTATCTTTGTTCATCGTCGCTGCATTTTTGTAAGATGATTCCTGTCAGGCTAGAAAATACTGCAAGATTCAAATGCTCAATACCAGGATTGCTGCCGATTACTGCGATGATTACTGTTTGCTTTCTATCTGTGCAATTTGAGATACTTTTCTGCTCTTTTTCAACCACCATTTTGATCCTTCTTGAGCAGTGAATTCATCCTGAAAACAGTGACCCTTCCTTGCAATTTTAAGGAATCTTTTCCCTTATCATCTTCTGTCATCCAACAAAAGTTCTCATAAACAAATATTTTTTTTCTTTTCAGATTTTATTTACCATGGTGCACAGTCCAGTACATCATCAGACCTATCTCCTATGTCTGAGCAAAAATCATTACCTCGACAAGGCAGATCAAGGTATGCATATCTATTTGTAATATTGAATTCTTTCATTCCTTGCTCTTTTGACATTTTGCATCAGATAGAGAATATGCCTCTGCAAGTCAAGAGCAGATATTAATGATAGTAATTACACAAAGCAACAAAATCAGTACAGAGCAATGTCTTGAGAGAAGTAACTGCACTAGAGCTTGAATCGTATCCAACAGTGTGATAACCCCAGAAGTATATATGCAGTTGGATCTTCATAAACATTCACAGTTTTTGAAAAGATTAAGGAACGCGTTTCCGACCAAGGCACTTGTAACCCATACATATTACAGTTTTTTCTCATAAGAGAATCACCTTGATCATTTTTCCATCTCAGTATTTGGTGTCTCAAATCCTAAAAGATTTTACTCTTTCAAAACCTTTCAATTTTTACGAAAGCTTTACATGCTTTTTGCCATGTATTTTTACTAAATTTGTTTTTTTTTTTTCAATTTTTCAGGTGGTTAGTTCCTAACAAAGGACTGCGGACATCACTGTCGATTGTCGAAACCTCATTTCGAGGTGGTATAGAACGACCAGAGCTAAGTGAGGCAGAATGTGATATAGATACACTTAAAAAATTGAAATTAGGTATAAGGTCTAGTCTGTGGTCAAGACCATCTAACAATCAACAGCATTCAGACTACTCCATAGCTGTGTAGAGGTAAGATTAAATGTATTTCGGGAAGTACCACTAGTTCTTTGAGAGTTACTACATAGTTTCTATGAGATAAGAATACAAGATTTAATCTCGTTGAATTTTGGTGCACCAGCTTCTGGAGCGGGTCAAGCTGCTCTTTTAAACTATTTGATTCGGTGAAAAATTGTCATCAGGTATATTTTTATATTGCTACTTGTCACAAGTGAAGAGACTCGTCTTTCATCATCTTAATTTGTATTTGCTACACATTTCTAGGACAAGCTGAACCAGCACAATTTAAAATAGAGTTGGTGGTTTCTTTTGGAGAATTTTGTACCCCTACTTTCAAAAATTTGAGAATTGTGCATTAAAAATGTCTAGAAAATTTGTTTTAAATATTATCAGTTAATTTTTTTTTATTAAATTGAAAAGCTCACAAAGTTTTATAACTGATATTGCCAATTCAAAAAATGGATAAAAAAAAACTCCTTATTTTCATCTGCAAAACATAATATATACTTACATGTTCTGACGTTGTCAACATTGTCAGCTTTACTTTTCTATTTAAAAAAAAAAATGTTTGTAAAAAATACTAATTTAAAAGAAAACGAGGAATGTTTCAATGAATTGTTTGGGAAAGAACCCATGATCTCATGACCTAAGGCAATTCTTGCAAGGCATTTCACTAATCCTCTCAGTTGACTTCTTTTGATGTGAGAGCTATTTCAATTTTCAATTTACGTGAATCAACCAGCACATTTGATGTTGGGTGTAGATTGTTTTACTTTTTAATCTGTACCTATTTTTATTTTGCCTTATTTTTTATGTTTTTATATTTTATTGCGCTTTGTTGGTGGAAATTTCCTGCTGCCTTGTTACTAATGGAATTTAATTTTTAATGAAATTCAAATTTCAACTATGTAAATTCCAACCAGAATTTTACGTAAGAAAAAGTGTGAAACGAATGAGTAATGAGTGAAGTGAACTGTTAAGCCTATGCTTTATCGGTATTGATGTTGCAGCCTTTTAAGTTGTTCGGTTTATTAAAATTCTAGTCTGCTGAAAGATATTGATAACCTGTAGGTAGAAGAAAGGTGGAATATTTTCATGAACCATTATTTGTCTAATGTTACTGTGCTGTGATATTTTCATTCATTTATTTATTTAGTTTTGCTCTCATCTCATTTGCCAAATAATAGTTACGAAAATCTGAATTGTGAGAAAAGTATGTTATTCATCCCTCAGGAAAATATTTCAGGATAAATAATCCTGTTTAAATATCTTGAGACTTCTCCAATTGTGAACTTTTGATTTTCATCTTTTGGCACTGACTTTATTGCGTGTAAAATAATACATGACACTTGATATGTTTGACTGATCATCATTTAGAAATCAACTCAATGTATTATTGTCCCTGAATGATTTCAAAGCCATTTTTGTCATCTCTCAAAGGACTGAACAGGAGATACCTTGTTCTTTGACTTTTCAATCCATGTTTCTTGAGCTGCCAATCAAAGAAGACTGAAATTCATTAGATCATTTGTGACAGTCTCTCATTTTTTCATTGCAAATGTTAATCTTTTCCAACTAGTAGAAGGGTCACTCATAAGAAAAAATGTGGGTACTTACACCATGGAACACAAGACCATCCATTAGTTTGGATCCCTTTAACTTATGTGCACATATTTGAATGACCTTGCTTTCCCTTGAATTTTGGTCAATTTTCTTAAGTTTCCTAGAAATATTGGCATCACAGAGTTCTGAACTTAGGATTTTCAACAAGATAGAATCGCCAGGTTTTTGAAAAATTCATCCTGAAAAGTTCTTCAATTCTTTTCAACTGCATATGTGTTCACTTGCTTAAAAGCGTGTGACAAATCAGAAGGAGGACTAGCCCAGCTGTAATTGTTTTGTGTGCATCCAACCCAGGATGTATTTCGTAGATACTCAATTTTTTCATTGATCACTTCCCTGGGTTAGACGTCAGGTACGAGTACCCCCTTTTTTTCTAGGTCACCCTAATTTGAAGACATCAGAGAGAGATTATGAGACATCACATTAGAAATTGTCAAGATCAGGCAAGCTCTCTTTTCCAAGGAATCTTTATTTTGTAAGTTGTGAAGTAAGTTGAAAAGAAATTGAATTTCAGATTGTTTTTCTGTTGAGAAACTCTTGCTCAGTTTTGACAATACCTTGTGCAACTTGTGCTCCTCTCTGTAATCTTCATTGCTAATTGATGGTTTAATTGACCACTGATCTGAAAATTGCCGTGTATATAATTGTTCTGTTTAATTTTGACTTTTCTAATTGTTTAATTTTTCATAATAAATCAAATAAATATTTATTATATTTAATGGATGAGATTCTTCTGTGCCTGACACCCAAATTGAGTTCAATGGGACCTCTGAAAATGAAACCTCCATTATGAGACATGTGGTATGATCATGGGTTTCAGGACATTTTGTCAACGATTTTTCGTCCGGCACCTTTTTTGTCCAGTACTTTACGCCCACACGTAAAATAAGCAACAGTGACTTGGTCCAAGCGTTATATTTTAGTCGGTATGTAAATTTATATTGACAATATGGAAATGAGAAATTGAGAGAGAAAAAGGTGTTGTTATGGTTGCTCATTTTCTAAATGAAATGTTATCACTTTCTCCTTTTGAATCATCTTTTTAAATTGTCATTGGTGAATATTTGGTTTTATTACTATCCTTAAAATATTCGATGTACAATATATACCTTATATATGTATAGGTACTTTTGTTTTAATTTTTTAATTTTTTCTTTACGAAATTATTACTTCATTTTGAAAACATTTATATTTTTAAAACGTGGCGAATATTTTTTAAACCTTTTTCAAGCAACATTAATCTCAATGAGCCGCAGTTGTGCCGGCAGAAACTGCAAAAATGAAGAAAAGAGGGAAAAAAACCAAGAAGCACGCAATCTTTAGTTTTAACCCATTTGTACATCGATCTTTTAGAGTCAAATACGTCAAATTTTGAGCGTTTGGGTGCGCGTAATCTCGCTGCGGCACAATGAAAGCACAAAATGTAAAAGAAAAAATTATAGTGCCTTGGAAATCATCAAAATTGACACGGAACTACCAATATTTAAAAAGCACACATTATATTATTATTCTTCTTTGATAAATTGATACATATTTTTTCCCATCAATTTAAATGAGAATAATAATCAATGCAGAGTGTGCAAACATTTCAAAATCATGAGTTAAAAAACGCTGACTATGCGAGTATAAATAGGTATTAAAGCCTAACAGAGCGCAGCAGTGTGCTGTCAGAGCGAGAGGCTCACTGGCGCCTTCAAACCTAAGTGGATACTTCACGCATTGCACAATGCTTGAAGTATCCACTTAGGTTTGCAGGCGCCAATGCGCGTCTCGCGCTAGCCGCCCACCCGCCGCACACTGTGGTATTGGACCTGAAAAGCTGGCCAAAACTATTTATCACCAGATATCGCCGAGTTTTAAGAATAATTTACAATCAGTACTTCTTCTTAAGTGATAATATGCACAATTTAACCACCTAACACATCAGATGACAGTTTGCGGAGAGTTTATAGAGGATGGAAGAAGCCCTCCAAAAAGCCTTTAAAAGGACGCAAAGTATCTGACTAAAGCGGTGCATTTAGACGAGCTTCTCCTTCACCCATGGTCCACTTTTCGAAATAAGGACTCTCTATGACCTCATGAATGGTTTTTTTAAGAAACAGCGTAAGCTACTTTAAAATTTTTGACGCAACAGCCGGTCTCTCTCATTGAGTAGTGATTGTACATTTCTCAAAAAAATTAATATCAATCGTTCCAGATTTTAGATTTCTGACAGTTTTGAATCAAAATTACTGTTAGTATGAAAATGCCGGGACCTCCATATAATGATTTGAGGATAACTCATAGGATGGAAATGAGTTTTATCATAATAAGAACCATTGTAAGGACAGAAAGCACCTGCGAAAATGATTAATTTTGATGGGTTCCTTCCTAACCCATGATCCACATCTCGAAGTGAGGGCACTCCATTACCTTTGAAATTGCCTTTTTTAATATAAAACAGCGTACCTAAGTCACTGCGAAATTTGTAACAAAACCACATATCTCACTTACCGAGGTGCAATTGTATTCTCTCTCAAAATTTAGGTTTTGAATCACTCTAGATATTTAAGTGTTAACAGTTTTGATGTAAATTGTAATAATACGTGAATATCCTGCAGACGGTATTTTCTATAAAAATTCGTGGGTAGTATATATACTCCGATCGCAGAAAATAGAAGTTGATAATAATGAAAGATTTAATTTTAATGATGTCCCTTCACAATCTGCTGGCTGAGGAAAAATCGTAAAATAACTTTTACGAGGCTTCAAAATGTGCCTCTCAGCGTAATTTCATGGTGCCAGAGGGCCACTTTTGAAGCCCCACCCCACGGCCGCATGGACTCAAAGTCTGTCAAAGTGAAACATGGCATAAATATGTCTATTCTCAAGGATGGTGCACGAAGAGATGGTTGGATAACGGATTGAACACAGTGCAAGACTTTAAAGTGACCCTCTCATCCGCTTTCAAATTATTTTTTTATCCCTCTTTCGGGGGCGCAAGGGCTAGAGAAACAGGTTGCGAAACAAAATATCACCTATCATCATCACCATGTATAATTCCGTAAGCCTTTTCTTCGCGTCAAAATTTAGCGCGAACCGCCGGGCCGATCCGTGCGCGGGTGGTACCGGCTCGACCGTCCCGGTCCCCCGACGGCGGGAAAAATATAGGGATCGGGCGGCGTGCCCGGCCCCCCTCGCCCCCTCGGGAAAAACGGTTGTCCCGTTGGTCCCGTCGATAGATGCGCGGTTTTTCCTTTTTCCCGTCCTATTTTTCTTCGGTCTGATGACTCGGCTGCCCGGTTCGTTCGTTTCCCTGGAAATGGCCGTGGATGATGGATTTACTGCGGAAGCGTAGTGCACCGTCGACCGTCGACCGTCGTTGTCTCGCAATTTTTTTGTCTTCAGTCATGGAGATTCCGTGTTCAAAGCGTGGGCGTCCTGCGACCCTGCGAGGCGTGGGCATGTTTTTCGCAACCCCTCCTTGCGGCGTATCGAACGACGTGGCGAAATGCGACTGTTGCGTGATTTACCGTATTCGTTTCGACGGAGCATTTACGATGTTAATAAGAGAGATTCTTATAAATTTAATATATTGAGATATATTAATACTGAAGCTGAATATTGTAGAGATGAATTAAGAACGGAAATTGTGAAACACCGCAATGGAGATACGTGGTTTCGCACTTGACACCGCAATCACACGCTGAATGTGGGAGCTGAATGTGGCTTGAATGTGGAAGTCATCGGCCCGATGCCTGAATTTTGCGCGTCACGCGCAAAATTCAGCAACGATTCTCAGCAACCATCGGACCAATTTTGAATTCGTCTGAACTATTCGAGTAGATTTGATACACATCTGGATGAAAATAACTCGAATTTGCTAAATTTCAGCCGATGACTGTTGACCTCCACATTCAGGTGCTAAATTCAGCGTCTGATTGCGGCATCAGTCGGTGCGAAACGGACATCCATCAAGTTTAAAAAAATGCATCAAGTCCCCGTCACCGCCGACCAACGCGTTTGTCGATCGAATCAACTACAAGTACTATGTGTAGGAGGTCAAAACGCCTTCAATTTTTTGAACGCAATACGGACATCCGTCGAGGTTGTATAGTTGTATCAAGGCGCCGTAGCAAACGCGTCCCATTGTTTATCGTTACATACGAATAAAAGTTGAGAGAGGCCAGTCATAATGCCTTCAATTTTATACATACATATTTTTGGGCAAAATGAGAGACGACGTTCCTCCTTTTGCGACGTTGCAGACTTCCTTAGACATTTTATTTTTCTTTCATGCAGCTGGTCAACATAAAACTTAACATCTCCATGATTTTTCGTATTCGATAGAAGAAGATTTGGTTCAAAATTTAAAGTCGTACATTTGGATTGTTTCTCATGGAAGAGATGATTTAAGAACGGAAACTTTGAAACACCGCAATGGAGATACGTGAGAAAGAGGGAACAGAAAATGAAGAAGAAAAAGAGGGAGCAGAAAATGAAGAAGAAAAAGAAGAAGAAAAGAAAAAAGGAGGAACGAAGGAGAGAAGAGTTGAAGGAAAAATTGGCAAAAAAACAGGGCAGAAATCGAAAAAGAAGAAGCAATAATTAAAAGGAAAACAGAGTAAAGTATTTAGAAGATTAAAAAACCGATACTTAAAACTTAGTTTAAAAACAAAGGTAAAAGCTTAAAAAGAAGTAAGTTCGTATGAAGGTTTAAAAAAAATTAATTTAAAGTTTACAAAATCAACTTACAATTTTTGAAAAAATGTGTTATTACTTCAAAGAAAAAATTAGGACCAATTCAAAGGCAAACTAGAAAATCAAATAAAAATAAATAAAAACAAGCAGTGAACTCCAACACAATGTGTTGATAAGGCGCGTCATTAACTCGCATATATCAACCCCTTTGGTTTTCATTTACAGAGAATTCAAAATAGGCAAGTAGCGCAACAAGAGAATTCATACGATCCAACACTTCAACGACGCACTTTGACGAGACTGTGTATTGTGAATGTAGAAAGCTATTCGAACGAATTTGAGTTTTTTGATCTGCCTCAAGCAAAATCTTATCAGATTCTTGAAGAAAAGTGCTGCGGAATAATTTAAGCGGAGAAAGGAAAAATTCTGTCGAACTCTTAGAAGATAAAGTCGATTAAAAAGGTATTTTGGGGCTAAAATACCCAAATCACCGGTAGTAAAAATCCCGTTATATTATTGAAAAGAAATTGACTCGATATGAATAAAATTGCTTTAAATATGTCTTGATTTTGTTACTTTAAACGTCTTTCCATGGAAAGAAGTTCAACCATGTCTATGCTTTATTCATTCATGAATTGAAAGTAAGAAATCTACATCCCGAAAATCTACCGATATGCCGTAAAATATCGTAGAAACTTAATATACCAGGTCGATGCACCCACTCGTTGAATTTACGAATCAATTTCGTGAGTGCACATATGTAAAAGTCAAAATGCTATAGTCATTTTGGGTGCCTTTATTTTTCAAGAAACAATTAGGTACACGTAATTTCAATCCCGAAGAACCATCAATTTTCCGTATAAAATCGATAAAATCAAAATATGTCCACTCCCTGACGTGAAAATAAGATTCTACGTGTGAAAATGCTTATGCATCGATATGCTGAACAGAATCCATGTCTATCTCAAAATTTTTCTCAGAGGTTTGTGTTATTATCAGCTTCCCTTTAAACCCCGGTTCGATGGCCGAATCGGCTGCCCAAAAAGCAAGCCATTTTTGAAGGGTTCTATGAGAAATTCGTGATACCTATTATAGGCTCTAAGGAAATCACCTCATGGCTAAAACTGGTGGTATACATGTTTGAGTGCTAGAATAATCGTATTTAAGGAAATAAGGCATTAAACTATGGAGTCAATTTCTTTTTAATAAATATAACGGGATTTACNATCCGCGGTTATCCGCGATAGTGAGGACAGGTCGACTCGTGGAGAGTTTTGGACCAGAAATTCGGACTTCTCGACTCATTCTACAGGGGACTCGCTTCATTTCAGCCCGATCGGAGAACTTTCGATTTTGACCCCTGAATTTTAGTCCATGTAACCCTTGTCGATTTTTCTCGATTTTGGACGGGAAAAAAAATTTCGAGATTAGTGTCGAATCCTACGTAGTTTGAGGCGTAGAATCGATTGCGCACGGTCCCGAGACGCGGCGAGGCTTCCTGAACCGAGAAACGGTCAAAAACGAGCGTTTTTGATGCTTTCGAGCATGCTCGAATATCCGCGGTTATCCGCGATAGTGAGGACGGGTCGACTCGTGGAGCGTTTTGGACCAGAAATTCGGACTTCTCGACTCATTCTACAGGGGACTCGTTTCATTTCAGCCCGATCGGAGAACTTTCGATTTTGACCCCTGAATTTTAGTCCATGAATTTAGGCCCCTGAATTTTAGGCCCCTGTCGATTTTTCTCGATTTTGGACGGGAAAAAAAATTTCGAGATTAGTGTCGAATCCTACGTAGTTTGAGGCGTAGAATCGATTGCGAACGGTCCCGAGACGCGGCGAGGCTTCCTGAACCGATAAACGGTCAAAAACGAGCGTTTTTGATCCTTTCGAGCGTGCTCGAATATCCGCGGTTATCCGCGATAGTGAGGACAGGTCGACTCGTGGAGAGTTTTGGACCAGAAATTCGGACTTCTCGACTCATTCTACAGGGGACTCGCTTCATTTCAGCCCGATCGGAGAACTTTCGATTTTGACCCCTGAATTTCAGTCCATGGTTTAACCCCTGTCGATTTTTCTCGATTTTCGGACGGGAAAAAAAATTTCGAGATTAGTGTCGAATCCTACGTAGTTTGAGGCGTAGAATCGATTGCGAACGGTCCCGAGATGCGGCGAGGCTTCCTGAACCGAGAAACGGTCAAAAACGAGCGTTTTTAATCCTTTCGAGCGTGCTCGAATATCCGCGGTTATCCGCGATAGTGAGGACGGGTCGACTCGTGGAGCGTTTTGGACCAGAAATTCGGACTTCTCGACTCATTCTACAGGGGACTCGCTTCATTTCAGCCCGATCGGAGAACTTTCGATTTTGACCCCCGAATTTTAGTCCATGTAACCCCTTTTGTTGTAAGTTGTTGCGCCGCGCTAATAGCACTGTTTGGCGCAATGCGTGAAGTATTCATGCAGTCTTGTAGGCGCTTTTATGTGTTACATGCCGACCGCCGCGCCGAGGGCTTGTCCTTTTCTTTTCAAGTCCTCGTCATCATTCCTCTCTGCGCTGAGCTCCAGGCCAAATTGCGTGTTTAGTTCCTCTCTTAACTCGACTCCGAAAAAAGAAAAAATCGAAATTACTGTACTCTCAGGAAAAAGAGATTTTGTCCCCTTTTCTCATTGATATTTTTTTTTCTCTGAATCCGATTGTTTTTATACCTACATTAAAAAAAATTGCAAAATTTGCCGCCCCCTAAATTTGCCGCCATGTGGCCACCCCCTTAATCCGGCCATGATAGAAAGAAGTAACTAAATCTGTGTAAAGGACCTTATCTTTAGAGAGAAGATTTTTCGTAACGTTCTATTAATGCATGGAGAAACAATAACTGCTATTGTCCAAAATTCTCCACTCCTCACAATCGCACATAATCGCCGACATTCAAAACGATCGAACGGAAAAATCGAAAGGATAACGTGGACTGAAAAGGGGTCAAAATCGAAAGTTCTCTGATCAGGCTGAAATGAAGCTAGTCCCTTGTAAAATGAGTCTAGGAGTACGAATAACTAGCCCAGAAGGCTCCAGGCGTCGACCCGTCCTGACAATCGCGAAAAATTGTGGACATTCAAGCATGCTCAAAACTGCATGCTCCCTTTTTGTGCCGTAGTATCTCGATGTATTTTCCAAGGAGGCTCCGTTCTCTTGAAGAATGCCTGTCTTTCTTAATATGTGGGAGTGCCTTCAATTTTGTATGATACTGTGCAACACCTTTGTTGTGATAAATAGTTGCTTGAGGCAGGCGCCGTAGCGTGGCGGGCGGCCGGTCAGCTCAAAACGCGCGATGGCGCCTACAAACCTAAGGGGATACTTCAAGCATTGCGCAATGCGTGAAGTATCCAGTTAGGTTTGTAGGCGCGCATTTCACGCCGGCATCACGCCGCTCCGCTCTGTGTTCGGCTCTAATATATAAACTCGCGGAGTCAGCGTTTTTCAACTCACGATTTCGAAATGTTTGCACGGAAAAAGCTAGGAGTTTAAATGATTAAGGGGCAGTAGAAGTCTTGAACATAGCTGAGTAAATTGCTCTTTTTGCACTGAGCACTAATTCGTGTGCCGCAAGTTGATTCCAAACATTTTCGGCAGGATTTACATCATAGGTAAATTCATTAAAAGCAAAAGTGACGGAAAATGAGAAGGCCAGTTTGTGTAAAATGAATAATGTTTTATACATTAGATATTCAGTTAACATCACTAGAACATCATTCTTATGTTTACCTCCAAAGTTACGAAATTTACAAATCATTTTAAAAAATAAAAATTCGTGGTATAGTAAACGTGATTAGGGCAAATGGTGAAACTTTGGTTACAATTAAAAAGAAGTTTATGATACAATCATTACGTACACATATTTACAACATCAGCCTAAATACCCATGTAAACTACATGTGGCACGTGCTTCTTACTCTGAAATTTGTTAAAGAAGAACTAAGAATATTTACAAGGAAGTGACTTTCTAATTATCAAATCAAAAATCCGACTAGTTTTGCAGTACCTTGAAATCAAAGCTGAGACTTTTAATGCACTGCACTTAATTTACATGCAACAGAATGGTGTAGAATAACATGAATGTTACATTCAGCCCATCATGGATACCTACCTGTACTCGTTAAAATATTTTGTCATCGATTATTGAAATCACATCTCAAGTTGCTCTTGGGCCTACTTTCACTGTGCAGGTTCCAAATCAGTTGATGAATGGTACCTTGTTCGCTGCTGCAATTTGTATTTCCCACCAGTGCTTCATTATTTTTAGGTATGTTTTTTATTTTTTTCATTCTTTGGAAATTTTCCATGAACTTGATATTCACCCACCAAGTTTTGAGGTATTAGGAAAATATTTCAGTAAGTTCTAAAACTCTGATAATTTTTGGACGCAAATTTTCCTCTTGTTAGAAAGTGAAAACTAATTTCACATGGCATCAACTGTATAAGATGAATAGAGGATGAGGCTACAAAAATATTCCATACGCAAAAGCCTTGTTCTATACAGATACAAAAAATTCTTTCATCTTGATGAATTTCAACAAGAGTTTTAACTTTGAGAACGCAAGGAAACTCATTTATTTTCATTATTTTTCTAGGGAATATTGGTGTGATACCTAATGATTTATAGTATTTTCATAGTCCATCTACATTCTGCATCCCTGTTCTCAGGGTTTTGCATGATAAAATATTATTTAAAAAATTTGACTTCAGTATCTCCTGCAAATATTCAATAGTAATGTTTTCCACCATGGAATTTGAAGAACTACGCAAAAATAAAAATAGAAGAACAATCTGTAAATAAGCAACATAGTAACAGAAGAAAATTTAGAAACTGTATAACATGCTATTCAATAACATGACTCATGATTAACATCATTTATAATGATATTGGTTTACAGAAAATCAACATTTAATGCGGTAAAAAAAGTCAATATAATAACTATACAATGATCCAATCGATCAAAATTTTCATTTTTTTTTTCTTTTTTAAAAAAAAGGTGAGAAACAATATTTCCTAAACAAAAGAGCATGCAACTAGCTTTTAGCTGGCGCACTCCACCTTATCACTGGTTTACCGACCCCACCCCCCGCCCCAACCCTCAAAATGTCAATAACAATCTTAAGTTAAGTATTTTTGGTCAAGCACTTTTTGATCATAAGTCCATTACAAATCCATTTACCATCATCTACCAATCAGCCTGATAAGAATTAAATTGATTAGAATCCATGAAAGGTGCGTCACTACGTCTGAAATGCTGCTTCTGCTTCCTGAATCACTACATTGCCCTGGAAGAAATCAAAAGACAATTGTTGATCAGTAATTTTTGGCATGTTTCAGTAAATCAAAAAGCAATATATTTTTTTTAATTATTTCAGTTTTCTCCCTTTATTTTTCTGTTTGTTGGTTTTCCGACCATTAACTATAAGTTCAATTGTACTGAGCTCGTTCCCGGGGTTAGGTACATATCTAAACCGGCAAGGAACTTCCACCCTTGTCAAAACGTGAGGCACAAAAGTGAAACTTGGAGGATCTATTTTAACATATACAGACCAAGTTTTGCATAACCACCACAATGAAGGGAAAAACTACACTATGCCACGATCAAAGAGCATAATTTGCCTTCATGTAAATAAATAGGCAATCATTTTATCATTTGTATTCAAAGACATTGCAAGTTACTTTTTCTTCTGAGAACTGAAAACTAAATCTTTGAAAGCATATTTCAACATGTAGCCACCGTGTTAGCCATTATCCAACACTTTATGGCCGTTTGACCTAAAAGTGATCCGGACTGTTGTGCTGCTGTGCTACGGAAAACGCCGTATGAACATTCGAGAGTTGTCAAATTTCCTCCAATAAAATTTTAGTTTTCTAAGGCAAATTAAGATTCATTTTCTCTTGAAATTTTCAGAAATTTAAACCTGATGGTAAAATTCTCTTAAAAACCGGAGAAAAAATATTCTCAGATTTCCAGGAAAATCCGTTTTTATCCAAAGAAATTTGGCAACGTCTGGCGACTCATGCGGCGTTTTCCTTTAGCACTGGCAGTATAGCAGTTCGCTGCATTGCGAGGACAAGTCATTTTTTTTCAAAATGCCTTTGTCTCGGGAGGCTTGAATTAATTCCTGCTTTAATCATGGAAGACTGAAGACAATTTCCTCAAGGAAGTTTTTCACACGGGCAGAGATAAGGAGTGTGAGAAAGACAGGGTTGCCTTGGTCAGGAAATGTCAGGGAAACTGGCAAAAATGTCGAGGAAACATTTTTTTAAGTCACCTTTATTTGCTATCTTGAATGGTTTTGACGTTTCGACCGACAAATTTTGCCCGAAAACTATTTCTAATTATGTCTTTTAGCCATCTGGCATACCTTCCAGTGCCAGGGAATTTAACCAAAATGTGTCAGAGGAATTCTAGCTTCGGTGGCAACATTGAAAGAGCTTTGGAACTGACTATAGTGATGTAATTCCTGGGACGATAGCAAAGAAGAAATGGGGGCTCTTCCTTACCATGGGGCGTGATGTTGAAGGCCCAGGAGTTATTCGAGTGGCCGTTGGCGATGATGTTGCGGTGACAGGTCTCCGTAACACTGGTCACCTGGAGATTAGGGCTCCCGCCTCCTCCACTGCCGCCGCCTCCCTCGGCTGTGTTGTAGATAACGAAGCAGTACCTCCTGGCGCCAGTCGAGTTCCGACTTAAAGGCAATGCTATCAGGTACGACGTGTTATCGTCGGTCCAGTGACCATGACACGAATAAGCTAGCAACAGATCATGAACCATGAGACGCTATCGATTGGCTTATACAAGAGGAAGAAAAAAACGAAATTCTAGCAATGGATGTTTAATTTGGATCGCATTTAGCAAAAAAGAACCAGCGCTATTACAGTGTTTTCAAAATTGTGCAACTGATCCTTTTCTTTTAAAAATATGTAGGTACGGTAATACAACTTACACAATTGTTTTCCTTTAAAATCAATGATTTTTTGATGGGAAGCCAAAGCAATCGCTATTCTCTGTGAGTTTTTATAGATAATTATTAGAAGCAACATTTTTACAACCTGTTCGGAGTTCCTTGTGTGTTCCAGGTGTGTTACACCTGGTTCCTTCCGGCTAAATGCGACCCATTTCTTTGTAAAAAATAAAAGATACTTGGATTGCATTTTGCAAAAAAGAAACAAGAGCGTTCCAATGTGGCTAGGATTGTACAATTTACGTTCTTTGCAATAATATTACTCAAATCCTGTAAAAAATTAATTGTACGTAGGTAATTTTCGTATTGAATTTATAATTTATTGGAAGTAATGATAAAACTTGATTGGATGATCAGTTTATATTTGCAAGGTAAAAAAAATGCACAATCACTGCGACATTCGAATGCTCTTGGTTCCGTTTTAATAAGTGCTATTCACTTGGAAAATGTAAGCTTATTTTTCACCACCCTCAAAATAAGTGACTTTGAATGGAGGGTTGTGATGGCTAAAATGCGATGAACCACGTATCTCCATTGCGATATCTCAAAGTTTCGCTCCCACTTAATTTTTTCGGAGAGAATCAAGCCAATTTTACAGCTTGAAATCTATACAGAGCTAGAATATCCTGTTCATAGAAAAGAAAAATCAAGGCGGTTTGGCTACTTTTCCGAAGATAAATTATGAGGGGTATGGCGAGAAGAGTACCAATTACATCGCGAACGGATTTGGTTTCGAATTTTAGCCATCGAGTGGCAAATCAATGGTATCCCTGGATACCAGGTGGTTTTTGCAGGTCCTGACCTGCAAAAACTAAGAACTAACATCAGAAAGTCGGTGCTACACACCAAGGATTTCCTCTCTCGTCATTCCAACATCATATTTTGTTTTTTTGGTGGTTTGTATGGACTTGGTTTAGAGAGGTCGCCAAAAAGTCAGCTAATTGATGACTTGTTTTCCTCTATTCTATCTGGCGAAAAATTTCGTTCTCAGGGATCTTAAGGGATTTTCGCCCTACACAAGACCATAATTTTGAAGAAAACGGAAAGAGATCCCAGGTTTTCAACAGAAAATTTTTAATTGGAAACAGGGAAGTAATATGGAGTGGATCATGTCAAAAACACAAGATACAAATATATCGGGCATATCCAGAAAAACTCTAACGAATCTTGCCTTCACTGTTAAAAATCGAGGAGTGAAATTCGGTGCCGGAGTCTGTACAGCGCCAAAAACCTCCGAGTGATAATAATTCGAAGTGAAATCAGTACCGTAAAAGCGTATGGCACTTCGTAAAAAGAGGAGATTCCGCTCCGTAATAGTATAAGTCACTCCGTAAATAGAATAGATTCTGCTCATCCGCATTCACATCACCCGGGGGTTTCGGGCGATATATGTATAGACTCAGACACAACATTTCACACCGGAATTTTTAACAGTGTAAGAGGCTTGCAATATTTTTTTTTCAAGATTTCATATGTTTGAACATTGTACCTTGGAGGGGCACACTTACCAGAAACGGTCTGTGAATTGCACTCGAGTTGAAACTCCATGGTTTCGGGCGCTCCACAGCCGACAGAGAGCGTTTGCGTATTGGACGAGTCGCAGATGTTCTCGGGTGGGAGGCCGTGCTCGCTGCTGGCCGCTGTCCGGCCTTCCACGGCCCCGCTCACCACGTAGCGCCCCAGGTATGGACACTGCAATGCTTTCGGCGTCGACGCTGAAAAAAACGTACAGAATAGTGTGCTAAAAACATTCCCTACAAATTGGACTGCCTTAAGCAGAAATGAACCAAGCCGCCACATTAGCTATTGCCATATTAACTTGTGCAATTTAATTTTTTACATGAAAATGGTTGTGCGGATTTTTGTGCAAATTTCAGTGAATTTTCTGCATCGTGCGGAGGAAATTATTTTAAGTTTTCAAAGGAATCTGCACAAACGTTCCCTTGTAAAAAATCAAATTTAAGTTCAGTAATAGGTAATGTGGCTTGGTTCCTTTCTGCTAAACGCGGCTAAATTGACTCTCATTTTTGGATCAGAGTCAATTGAATGCCATTTACAAGAAGAAAAAAAAAACTTTACTAAGAAGAATGAGACGGCGCTAGACTCCAGAACTAGCACATGCGGCGGATGGTAAATTTACCTTCACTGTAAAAAAAAACACATTGGATCTAGAGTCCAGACTCTTAAAAACATCGACAAGAAAAAGTACTCTCGATTCAATCAGAATCAAGCTTAAACCAAGAACCACGCCTCTTAATTTAAGCGGATTTCCTTTTGATTCAAGCAAAAATCCGATTGAATCAAGAGTCTTTTTTCTTGTCAATGTTTTCAAGAGTCTGGACTCTAGATCCAATGTGTTTTTTTTCCAGTGTTGTCATTCCGGTCCGCACTCGGGCGCAGCAGGCAACACCTCTCTACACATTCCCACTGTGCTAGGCGACATTGTTCCTGCGCTCCAACGCAGTCATAAGGATGGTGAAGCAAAGTGATTTTTATTTTCGTCCGTGTATACAAGGTGATCCAAAGTGTGTTCCGTGGATTGATCCCCATGTAGCAATTTCAAGATTGATGGTAATAAACAAGCTATTTACAGTCAATTTATTGCTTTGAAACTTCTACTAAATAAAAATTTTAATCTACTTGTGAAATGCAAACAACAATGTATCGCTATAAGATCGCAATTTTCGAACACTATTTTTGAGTATTTTCATCAACCAATGTTTGCACTTTTAATAGCTTCTGAATTGCCATTCATGACCATCGGATTCCTATTTTCGGAAACTCTCCTACCTAGGTGTTCTTTAAGATTTTTTCAAAAAGTGCTTGGGTGCAAAAGATGGTCCGCTGCGCTGATGTATTGAAAAACAAAAACAAAATAGAACTTCGTGACAGAGTCTCTGAAGGGTTAAAATAACTGCGTGTCAATGTCTGGAAAAGAGGGATATTTTCCCCTAACTCATAAAAAGGACTATTTTTAGAGGACGAATTACATGTGGTGTGGTAGAGACGAGAGGTGGGAAAGGACAACCAATAAAGGGATAGTAAAGTTAGGGGTAGAAATGGCAGACAAGAAAGGGTGAGTGGACCGAAGGAAGGTCAAGTTTAAAAGGCATACTCACTGACGAGAGTGGTGAAAGGTAAAGTTTGCGGGTTGAAGTTTTGTGGGCTGCAAGCATCCTCGGGCAGCTGTGTCCACGTATCTGAAACATAGGAAACAACTTTGAACGACTTAGAATCGGAGGGGGGGGGGGTTGCGGNCAAATGGAGGGGGGGGGGCTGAGAGAAAAGGGTACAAAACGCGACAGACGGGATCTTTGATTGCCAGACGCGAGAATTATCGATTCTCAACTTCAGCCACGATAAAAAATTTCCATTCAAAAATTTTGTTTTTCAACGAGGAGGGTTTCGCAAAGAATATGCAGCCCTTCGGCGAGATCGTGACAAGCAAGGAAACACCTGCAGGAGAATGCCCTGCGTAAATTGTTCTCAAGCAGAAAACGCACGTAAAAGTCAGGAAAAAACGTACGCATGTGGATGATGCTGGGAGCGCGAGAGCAAGGAAAATCAGCGCGCCTTCAATTTTTTGTGTATGCAAGTAGGACATCCCCGAAGCACGAATAGTTGTATTCAGGCGCTAGTAACATCGCGCGTCAACTTCTCGTTCTATGCGTCTTGGAGAGAGATCGTTTTCAGTTCGTCGTGATAATTCTGCGTGATTTTTTATTCAAGTATCTAAAGACGATTTCTTGAGGGTTTCAGGACATTTTGTCAACGATTTTCTGTCCGCGCACCTTTTTTGTCCAGTAGTTTACGCCCACACGTAAAATAAGCAACAGTGACTTGGTCCAAGCGTTATATTTTAGTCGGTATGTAAAATTATATTGACAATATGGAAATGAGAAGTTGAGAGAGAAAGAGATGCTGTTATGGTTGCTCATTTTCTGAATGAAATGTTATCACTTTCTCCTTTTGAATAATCTTTTTAAATTATAATTGGTGAATATTTGGTTTTATTTTTATCCTTAAAATATTCGATGTGCAATATACCTTATATATGTATAGGCACTTTTTTTATTTTTTTTAATTTTTTCTTTACGAAATTATTACTTCATTTTGAAAACATTTATATTTTTAAAACGTGACAAATATGTGTAAAACCTTTTCCAAGCGACATTAAGCTCAATGAGCTGCAGTTGTGCCGACAGAAACTGCAAAAATGAATAAAAGAGGGGAAAAAACCAAGAAGCACGCAATCTTTAGTTTTAACCCATTTGCACATCGATCTTTTAGAGTCAAATACGTCAAATTTTGAGCGTTTAGTTGCGCGTACACCTCACTGCTGCACAATAAAAGAACAAAATGTAAAAGAAACAATTAAAGTGCTTTGGGAATCATTCAATTTGACACGGAACCACCAATATTTAAAACACACACATTATATTGTTATTTTCCTTTGATAAATTGATACATATTTTTTTACCATCAATTTAAATGAGAAAAATCAATACAGAGTGTGCTAACATTTCAAAATCATGAGGTAAAGAACGCTAAATATTAAAGCCTTAACAGAGCGGAGCGACGCGGCATGCTGCCAGCGCGAGAGGCTCACTGGCGCCTACAAACCTAAGTGGATACTTCGGGCATTGCACAATGCTTGAAGTATCCACTTAGGTTTGTAGGCGCCAATGGCCAATGCGCGTCTCGCGCTGGCCGCCCGCCCGCCGTGCGGCGGCGCCTGAAGCAACTGTTTCACAACAGAGGTGTTGCACAGTATTATATGAAATTGAACGTACTAAGAATGACAGGCATCTTGGTTCATATGGTGAAAATAAAGTCCAATTAGTCGCATAATGTCCACAATGTCGCAGGCTGTTAGTCAAATCAGGCATTTATCAAATGCCTGGGCAAATATTCAAATTTTGACAGTTTACAAAATTTTGTAAATGTATGGCAAAGAGCTCTCGAGTTTTCAATATTTAGGGAAAGTCAAATCTACAAACTGCTCTTGTTTATTCCTCCTCAAATGCTCAAATACTCTTGTAAAAAATCTGTATTTTAAGACATGCTAATGACTGAAGTTCATTCAGGAGCTAAACATCTTTTAACATATTATAACATGATCCATATTTTTACAGATCAATCTTTTTTCATTGGAGCAATTAATTATTTTGCCCAAAATTAGTAATAAAAAATCAGAGTTTCATTCTACGTAAAAATATTTGACTATCTGCCTGGGCCTCTGACAAAATGTCTGATTTGACTACTTGCCTGCGACATACCTATATGCGTGGAAAATTATTCCCTCTTGAAGAAGCTTGTCGTGCTAAAATTTGCAAAAATCAAAATCTTTGCTTATCAAAATCGTTCTCACCACCTGACCGCTTCCCCAGTTGGCCTCTTTTCAATCGCAGAAAAATAAAACGGATCGGGAAGGGGAATAGTTGAGGGACAAATGGATTGCATTTTGCAAAAAGGAACCACTAGCATTGCAATGCTGCGAAGATTGTGCAACCTCTTTTGTCTTGGAGGAAAAACCCGATTATCCATTCATAGTTTCTATTTTACTCGCTAAAAGCTGTGAATTTAAGACAAAAATTACCATCTAAATTTCATAGTTTTTCACGATTTCCGCAATTTCATTGCAAAGGATGAAGTTGCACAATCTCAGCATCATTGCAATGCTAGTGGTTCCTTTTTGCAAAATGCAATCCAAGCGACGGAGGAAGATACAATATTTGTGGCCCCTTCCATTTTCGATGCGTGCAAAATGCAGTGCATCTCCGGCATGAACTTTGAATAACATAACGGAGTAGTGAGTGATTAATTCCAAACTTTTCCTCGAAAATTACATCCGGCCGGGAGAGAAGATAATCAACTTTTCGACAAGGTGCCGCTGAGTTGGTAAGGTTGGCGAGGTTATTTTTCAACTGGAAACAAACAGACGCCGGGAAGACTACGCGTTTTATTTATTTGGAAGTTTCGACGGAAAAATTTGCTTAATTAGCCCGCGTTAGGTAAGGTTAGGGAGTAAGGAGCCTCCCCCCTCTGACTGACTGGCGTGGCGTGTGGAGCTGTTACTCTGAGTATTATCGAAATTTAACAGAAACTTATTAGCATTGTCATAACTCGTGCTCCGAGTTTGACATTTCTATAATGACTTTTAAGTTAATAAAACTTGGGCTCCGATTCAGCTCCGTCTGTGATATTAACTAAGTTATCATTTTGTTGCATTGTTGCCTCATTTTGTCAAACTTAATAGAAACTTTTGCGTTCGTGGTGAAATCCATAGTTTCCAGTGGCGTGGCGTGCTTTGCGATATCGATTCATCTGTAATTTAAACCTATGGGAAATGATCGATGAACAGGGTGTCGCAACAAACGCCTTAATAATCGATTCTTTACCATAACTTCAAATGGGGAAATATCGATAATCGATCAATCACGCCTCGCCAGTGATAGTTTCTCTGGTGCGGACAGGCTTCACGGTAAAAATGAGATCACGGAGTGACGTGCCTACATCTCGTCACCTTCCGGCCAAAATATCACAAGCGGCATTCGACGTTTCAAAGTTTCCGCCGCTATTTTATTTTTTACAAAGAAATTGTTGGTAGAATCTGATTGAAAAATTCACTAATTTTAGCGGCAGCACAAAGAAAATTCAGTGAAATTTTCGGCCAGCTCTGTTGAACGATTTCTCTATAAAAAAAAATAAAATGACGGCGGAAATTTTTTAAACGTCGCATGACGCTTGTGATATATACTTTCGATGCGTCTACCATAACATTTTTGACTTCTGTGTTTTTCAAAATGTAGCCAAAATCGAAATCCAATTATTCAACGTGCAAGGATGAAATTTTCGTTTCCGATCGATATTCAGTCAAACTGGAAATATATGGATACCGATGGCCAAAGTGCGAAGCCATACGTATCTCCATTTGTGGCATCACAGACTTTCTATTTTTTTTTATTTTTGAATATTTATTCAGCATATTTTTGTTAAGTTTAGCACTGTTTCCTGTACAATTAAATACAAGCCTCAAGGCTAGTTAACCATATTATATGACTACTTTGAAACTTTCTGTCATACATTACTGCTTCTTTGGACAACCAGTTCAATGTTCATTTCTCGGAAACGCCCTTGATTTTTCTTCTAAAGCGCACTTCACACGTCGAAAATGAGGGCTAAAATTCAGTTTACGTAGTAGTTGCTGAATAGTCGTTTTTTCGTAAATTTCGACTTATTTTTCAACATCATTATTTTTCAACTTTCAATTTAATTATTCAATTTATCATTCGATCAATTTCAACTTATTATTCGACAACATTCTCCATTTTCAGCTACGGTTTTTGGCGTTAAGAGGTGCGTTTATGTCGTAGAATATTCTGTATAAATTTCAAGTTATAAAGTTGGTTTGTTTCTCTTGGAAAAAGTAAAATAAGAATGGAAATTTTGAAATATTGCACTGGCGATACGTGGTTTTGCATTTTGATCATGGATTTATTCAAGTTTGGAAATAAGAAGTTTGTTTCATTACAATTAACATAGTAACAGATATCGATCGGTTAAGGAATAGAAGAATCTGTAGCGTAAAATCGTTTTGTCGGGCCTGCGCACATTGGATCGAGTCTATGAGAGAGTCGGACAAAATTAGGAAACTTTAAACGCTCATAACTTCGTCTATACAAATGTTTGGGATTTTAAAAGTGGTGCCATTGGTTTCCTCGTAGATTTTTCTTCTGTTAGGACCCATTAAAATAAAAATATGACGAAATAAACTTCAAAATTTGCAGTTTCAGTCAAAAATTTCGTGTCCGACCTTTCTAATTGACTCGATCCACCGTGTTGCGACCCGATGGTGAGGCTGCACTACCCACTACCTGCTCAGTGCGGAGCCGTCTGGAAACTTTGAACTTGCGAAACTTTAGCGTGACAGCCGCTTAGGAAAAGTGGCGTGGCGTGCTTCGCGATATATCGATTGATCTGCCATTCAAACCCACGGAGCAGGGTCGATAAACAGGGTGTACCTTAATAATCGATTCTTTAGCACAGTCTCAAACGAGGAGATATCGATGATCGACCGTTCACGGCTCGCCACTGGTGGAAAGTTTCCCGGGTGAGCGGGAGCAAGTGGAAGGGCGATCACGGAAGCATTTATAGTAAAACCATAAAATATGATTAGAAACGGAATGCAGGAGATTTACGGCGGGATTCCATTAGCTCGGCCCGGATCCTTGGTGCGCTGCGCGCTGGCTGCTCTATCTTCAATTTCAGCGGCCGATGCGACGGCGATGGCAACGGCGATTGCAACGCGATCGCACGTTGACAAGGAAACAATTTATGAGACGGACCGACAACGCCAACAGCGCTCCAAACGGCACCTTATACCAACTTACATCCACTTCCCCGTTGCCGATCTTCTCCGCTTTAAAGGATTCGTGCCGGGCTCCGGCTCCGCGGGCTGATTCTTGAGATTGATAGACAGAGCGATAGACAAAGAAGGCATAGAGAGTATGGAGCGATCCTATTGGTGGAAGTCTTGTGCTTGAATTCATACCTTGTCTAGAGGCCCACTGCGTTACAGAAGGGTTGAAATCTCAAATTTTACTGAAGGACTCCAAGGAGGTACTCTTTAGGGTTGGTCCGGCTCATACGACAAACTGCGCCTATGGGTCCAAATACCCCAAAACCGGCCCTGACTGCAACTCCAGCGGGCTGATTGTTGAAATTGATAGAGTCCAAAGCTTTAAAAACAGAAGACAAAAGGATCTGGAGGGATCCTATTGGTGGAAGCAGGTGGTTGCAATGGACAAAGGAGGTAGTTAATAGATTAACTAACGGCAATCGACGAGAGACCCTTTAGTTAGTCCATCATTTTCTCCCTTAGTCAATAGAATCGTTCATACTCCATACGTCTTCTTTGTCTATCGATTTCAAGAATCAGCCCGCAGTTGGGAAACTTCCCAGTGGTAAGTTTATAATATCCACTGGCAACCGGGGACTTGGACTCCGATGACTGCGATCGGACTCACGAGCACTATCGGCGCGCGCGATTGTGGCTCTGAGAAGCTCAGGGACTGCCCGCGCCCGCCGCACGGTGGATCGAGTCACTTAGAGAAGTCGTTAACGAAATGTTTGACTAAAATTGCAAATTTTGATGTTTATTACGTCAGATTTCAAATATTCAGGGGTGCTTCCAAAAGAAAATTTCACGAGAAAACTACTGGAGCCACTTTTAGAACCTCAAAGATTCGTATAAACGAACACTGGAAAAAAAAAACAAAAAACAGATTGGATCTAGAATCCTGACTCTCAAAAACAGCGACAAGAAAAAGTACTCTTGATTCAATCAGATTTGAGCTAAAATCAAGAACCAAGCCTCTTAATTTAAGCGGATTTCGTTTTAATTCAAGCAAAAATCCGATTGAATCAACAGTATTTTTTCTTGTCAATTTTTTCAAGAGTCTGAACTCTAGATCCAATGTGTTTTTTTTCCAGTGAAGTTATAAGCGTTTAAAGTTTCCAAATTTTGTCCGAGCTCTCCTATTGACTGGATCCACTGTGCGGCCGTGGCGATCATGCGAGAACTCTGCGATATTCGGAGCCGTGACCCTATAAATCCCGGAATATCGGTCAAAAACACCCGCTCGCGAAAAATGATACACTCCACGCCACCCCGCCCCCTCCCCCGAAGCTGAAACTTTAATCTTGCTATTGAAATATTGCACGGGGTATTGACTCGCGAGGTCGTCGCTCGCGCTGGGCTCCCGTTGCCTTCTCGCACGCTCGCCACCGCCACCGCTTTTCGTGAGTCATGGGTCTTTAAATTGTTGCGCCGTGGTAGGAAGAAGCAACCGACATTTTGTGTTAAGATGGAAGGTACAACACAAAGTAACTTAAACAAGCGGTTAATATTTTTTTGGTAAATTTTTCATGAGGTTAATTTCGTAACTTTGCAAATTCTGTAAATTGAAGAATTTTGTGCACGAATGGAACTCTTTCTACGATTAATAATTCATGAAAATGCAATATTTTGTCCACGTGGAATACCACAAGGCAAAAAGTAGGAGAAATGGGGAACACTGCTGTGGGAAAGAACTGAAGTAAGTACAAGAAATGAACTTACGTGATCGCTGCAGCTCGACCACATGCCCGACTCGTTTGTAGAACACCATGCACATGTACCCACTTTGACTGAAACAAACAAATTTTATCGTTTACTTAAATCAATCTTAAAAGGATATTTGGAAAATTTGTTTTTACGAGATCTTTTAGAGCATACGATCACAAAAGATGGAATCATTTTTGAATAATGCAAGTCGTCGTCAAAATTTAAGCCTAAAGCTTTCATGTATGAGGCACGGGAGCTTTCTAGTAGCCCCAGCTTAGAAATTTTGCATGAAGAGCTAGAGTGCTTGAGTTGGGATGAAAATTAGAGTCAGGAAAACATTATATTCAAAACCAGCCTTAAAACTTGTGCACTGTATCTGCCACTTAATGTTTTTTTGAGGAATACATGAGTGCTCCCTTCTTCACTTTAAGATTATTTATGAATTATATAATAAATGGATTCCGGAAAATTCGACCTTTTTCACCGCAGAAAACCGATACATATTTTGACGAAAGAAAATAAATCTCGATTTCCCGTGCAATTGAAATCAAATTCAATTACAAGTGAATACGGTCCGGGCTGATGAGGGCATTATGTTTGATCGGACCTAGGGGTGTTTGACAGGCCAGGATCAAATTGAAACTTTGAACGGATTAGATTTAGGCGGAGAAGGGGGGGAGGGAGACAGAACCGCGAGACGGAAGGGTGGATAATCGCGGTGAGAATAGCCCCCAGTTAGAATCTGCAGGTGAAGGCCTTCCAAATCCTACGCATATACTAAGTTCCTGACGAATCAACTATGTATGCGCATTTCGCACGCACAGTTTCCAAGTCCAAAATCGGCGAAATGCAACCGTATTAGCGTTCGAGATCTCGAATCAAACGTTGTAAAAATGATGACACACTGGAAAAAAAAAAAACACATTGGATCTAGAGTCCAGACTCTTAAAAACATCGACAAGAAAAAATACTCTTGATTCAATCGGATTTTTGCTTAAATCAAGAACCAAGCCTCTTAATTTGAGCGGATTTCCTTTTGATTTAAGCAAAAATCTGATTGAATCAAGAGTATTTTTTCTTATCAATGTTTTCAAGAGTCTGGACTCTAGATCCAATGTGTTTTTTTTTCCAGTGCATGCGTAAAATTATCCACTCCCAAATTATTTTTTTACGGGTGAACGAATCAACATCATCCCTTTAAGTTTTCACAGAATTTTCCTCGCGCAGAGAAAAAAATCCTGGCAGTCTTTGAAAAAAGCCGTTGAGCAGTTTTCTATTTAAAACACAAAATACAACAGGAAGTCTGCAACGTCGCAAACCAAGCTACGTGATTCGAGAGTCTCATCGCCAGTATCATGTCACGGGCTGCGGAGTATGCAGCATAACTCAAACCCAAGAATGTTTCTGCTAAAATGTAACCTTTCATTAGCTACTGAAGCATGGATTCGACCGCGTTTAGCAGAGAGGAACCAAGCCACATCAGTTATTGCCTCATTTAATCGGGCAAATTAATTTTTATACATGAAAACGACTGTGCGGATTTTTAAGGAAATTTCAGTGAATTTTCAGCTGAGGACGAAGGAAATTCCTTAAAATTTTCAAAATAATTCGCCCAAATATTCTCTTGAAAAAAACTGACTTGCACTGGAAAAAAACACATTGGATCTAGAGTCCAGACTCTTAAAAACATCGACAAGAAAAAATACTCTTGATTCAATCGGATTTTTGCTTAAATCAAGAACCAAGCCTCTTAATTTGAGCGGATTTCCTTTTGATTTAAGCAAAAATCTGATCGAATCAAGAGTATTTTTTCTTGTCAATGTTTCCAAGAGTCTGGACTCTAGATCCAATGTTTTTTTCCGAGTGTGTCGAGTAAAATTTGACAATAGCTGCGGCTTAGTTCCTTAGTGATTAAGGCGATGCGATTAATGATCGAGGAATACTTACCATCCGATGACAACGTGGACGATGAAGGTGGCCTGGGTGCTGGAGACGTCCTTGGAGTGGCACACGGCCTTCATCTCAGTCTTCTGGTGGTTGGCGTTGGGGCTGCCCTGTTTGGAGGTGACCCGGAAGGTGGTGTTGTGCGGGTTGAAGTGGTAGCTCCGCGAGTGGTCCAGCGTGTGCCACACGTGCTTCTCCGTCAGCCACCCCGGGAACCGACACTCTGCCCCGCTCCGGTGGTGGTGCGACCCCTCCGCTGCTGCACAGATAAACCAGTCAACGTTAATATTCGACAAAAATGAAATTCGTGGTTGACCCAACGTTAATAAAAAGTGGGGCACCATCCATTTTTTATTCAAGTCAAAAATACGTAAAGGACATTTGGACCGAGTTTTTCAGAGAGGAACCAACCCACATCAACTTGAAACGGAGAAGAAGAGGTTCAAAGTTGTATTTCTCCACAAGACTCGATGTAAAAATAACTTGAACCCCCTTTTTTACTGAGAAAATATTTTTTTTGGACTTAGAATTTTTGGTAGAGGAAAATGTTCGACCAGTTGAGCTCAAAACTACTCATAACTCAATTTTTTCCAAAATGTGGGTTGGTTCCCTTCTGATGGACTCTGTCCATTTGATAGCCTGGACATTTTCATGCCAACACCGCGTTAGTGCACCGACTAATGCTCCCGCGTCAAGGAAAAACGCCGTAAGAGCCATCAGAAGTTGCCAAATTACCTCTGCTAAAATACGAATTTTCGAGGAAATCGACTTCTATTGGGCTAGACTGGCATGATTATGTTAACAGAGTGACGGAAGAAGGGCTACCGAAAAAAATCCATAGCTCGGTCACTATTCAACCTAGAGAGCTGATCGTGGTCTCCTTTATGAATAATTGGACTGCATTTTGCAATTTGGAAGTATAAATTCTGGCCCGGTTTAAAAACAACGTATGTGCCGTTAGTTTCCCTATGCACATAAGTGTTTTTCCAGATGAGCCGGAATTTATAGTTCCAAATTGCAAAATGCAGTCCAATTAGGACTCTGAGCTCGAAACCACACCGTAGATTGATAGCTGATTCTGTTCACTCAAAACCGGAAGTTCGCCAAACTGTTTGAGCACCCTATATAATACTATCCAGAGTCCCTTCTTAAATACATCAGCGTTATCGATAATGTTTACCAAGTTTAGTTTCGTCTAATTCCTGCCCTGTGAACTTGGTTGAGAACGTGCCGCTGCTATGATCAAATATTTGAGCCATTTTCGTGAACGTGCCTTTCGCCAAATTCACTCATACGATTCAAGTTGAGCACCAATGATTCATATAACTGCCTTTTGGTTGCCGTTCTCTTACACGATCCAATATGTCACCGCGCCAAAAAGTTTCGAGATTCTTCAGTGCTCTCATCTCCTGCGGTATGGATACTTCCCCTTTTTGTCTATCTTATGAAAATTACTTTTTCCCCTGTCAGTCACTCTGCCAGCCGGACATCGATCCGCAATTTTTTTCCTTGCGTGAGTATAGTTTTAACTCTCTCCTATCGTTTCTTTCAAATATTTTCAAATTTTTAAATTCCCTCTGTCGGTCCAAAAATCCGAGGGCCAGTACAGTCCCTACTTCCTCGCCACCAGAATTTTCGTTTTGGGCGTAAATCATAATTTTTTGCCGATTCATTGTATCCAATCGTCAAACCACATTTGTTTTTGCATCAGCACCTGAGCCATTGTATCTCGCTGATGGAACGAAATGAATTTGAGCGAGTGGACACACTGAGGAGGACAAAGAAGGAAGGCGGATTTACAGGAGTACGGGGTGGTTGGAACGACAAACAAGCTGCAAGGATGCCAAGGACGCAGAGAGAGTCAGCATTCCTGGATCACTGCGAGACGACAAACAAAGGCCGAAGGACGACGGCGGTAGGAAAAACAGAGGAATCTGTGCGGCGCGCAGCGCGCACGGCGGAATTAAAAAGGTTGCTCTGGTCACTGGTGACCGATGCGACGCGACGCCGCGCCTCGTCCCACGTCCACGTCTCTTATCATATGCAACCCACCCCCGACTCCCAACCCCGCTGTCGTCAGATTTCACCCACAACTCGCTTTGGATATCCTTGAAATGGACGTACATATGTCGGAGGCAAATACTCAAATCAGGCATTTTATCAAACGCATAGGCAGATACTTAAATTTTCAATGTTCACGAAGTTTTGAGAGAATTCGCCAGGTGATGAAGGTTGAGAAAGATATCGTGCACGACGTCATGTCCAGGCAGTTATGCTGGTATGGACATGTGCAAAGAATGTCGGAGGAGAGGTTGTCCAAACAAGTTTTGGATTGGGTACCACCTGGGAAGAGGCGACGGGGACGTCCCGTAAAGGGTTGGCGGCAGGGCGTTGACGAAGAGATGTTGCGGTGTCAGTTGCCCGATAACCTCTGGGAGGACAGGCATATGTGGCGTTTGGGTGTCGTAGAACGCCAGAGTGCGTTGTAAAGCGACTTTATATATATACGAAGTTTTTCATTTTTTCAAAAAAACCACTCTGATTTTCAGTATTTTGGGACTAAAAATCCGTCATAGTACGAACTGTCATTTTATTTCCCGTTCAAAAATGCTCCTAATAGTTCTTCAATTGCCCAAATTGTGAAAACTGTTTATTTTACGAAATGCTGCATGTTTTGAGATAAATTTGCATTCAAGGACTAGAAAAAAAAACGTATTTATGATTGATGAAGCGTATTTCAACTAATGTGCAAATAATAAAACGATTTGACTAAAAACCAAAACTTCCAACATCAGCGATGATGTCACATTCGGAAAAACGTGTTGAATGACGTCATTCACCGACTGTGCAATGCAGAGATTGGCTTTGTTCACATTTTACTTCATCGGTAATGTGAGTATCGCAACCAATGCAAATGTTCGCACAGTCACTAGCGTATAAGATGACGTCAATTTCCGATTTTTAGATGGATAAATCTCCAACAATACGTGGAGTGGCAACTAAACGTTTGAATGAATCTTAATATCCTTGCTAATCTGTACAAATTAACTTTCAAACCATAATAACTAACACAACGATGACGAATCAAAACAATAATGAGGAACTCATCATTATTCGAACTTTCTGACGAAAAAAGTTCCCCTCTATAAACGGGTCACCCCATATCAATACTTGCACGGAAGGATTACTTTCCGTAAAAATTTCCTCGTTGCGGAGATTTAATATTATTTATAGGATTTGGCAACGTCAGCGAAGATACGTTGGCGCGTGTGAGGAATTCTGCGGTGAATTGCGATTCGCGAGTGCATTGTTCCCGTTATGAAAAACGAGAGGAAATGAACGTCAGCGCGTGGCTACTCAGCTAAACGAGCTCCTTTTTCGTGGCAAATTCTTGATTTTATCAGCATGTAAACATATTCGCCAGCGAGCGCCACTACAGAGAGCTAGACGCCTGCACTTTAGCGGTTTTACCCCTCTCCTCTCTAACAGGAGCTCGCGGGCCCTTTGTTTATTCTGCGGCCAAGATTCAGTTACTAAATTTGAATCCCACCAAAATAAAAAAAAGGGCAAAAAAGTCTTCTTTTCTTCAAAGTCCTCATAAAGCGCTTGGAGCCCAATCAAGTACTAACGTTAGGACCAAAAATATCGATTAAATTAGTTTGCTGATTATTATTACATCCCGTGAGATTAAAAATTGTTAAGGTTTTGCCGTTTGTGAGTATCTACGTTTGAGAAATGCACCAAAGCTAAGCGTCTCGATAAATAGTCTTCAATGCACTCCTCCTTATCTTACTTAGGTATATTTTATAATCTATTGTATTAAACCATTGCAATATTTTCCCAATGGAATGTAACGATTGAGTATTTGCAGGTGTCTAAAATTTGACGAATTTCGTTTTCAATACTGCTGAGTGAATCGAAAACGAGGATACTCTTGGTTCATAAATTGAACAATAAATGGGAGAAGATTTGACAAAAAGATCCAATCTGCTAGAATACGTAGGTTTCAATACGAAACGCCACCAGATGACGCGGCGTGGCGGGCGGCCGGGCAAAACGCGCGATGGCGCCTACAAACCTAAGGAGATACTTCAAGCATTGCGCAATGCGTGAAGTATCCAGTTAGGTTTGTAGGCGCGCATTTCGCGCCGGCATCACGCCGCTCCGCTCTGTGTTCGGCTCTAATAATTAAACTCGCGGAGTCAGCGTTTTTCAACTCACGATTTTGAAATGTTTGCTCGGAAAAAGCAAAGAGTTTAAATGATTAAAGGCCAGTAGAAGTCTTGAAAATAACTGACAAGCTCTTTTTGCACTGAGCCCTTATTCATTTGCCGCAAGTTGATTAGACATATATTACCATGTATTACCCATAGATCAATCATCATATTTTAATTTTTTTGAATTTTAAACTTAAAAATGTTGAACAAAGAAAGCAAAATTTTAATTCACGACTTTTGTCCGGCTAAACTCGGCTGCTGGCCCTCCGTGTGACGTCACCAGGCGGTCAATTTTCTCACTTATAAATCTATTTTCATACTATTTCCCACATCAGAAAATTTTTTTTAAAAAAAATACTCAGCTCTTTGGGCACTCTCAAATGAAGCAATTAAAAAATTGTGTGAAAAATCTCCGCTTGAGTTAAATTAATTTACGACACGCAACACCGTTATGTTAGTTCAAACGTCTTGATACAACTATTCGTACGTGACGGATGTCCATGTTGCATAGCCAAAAATTGAAGGCGCTCACACTTGCTTCATACCGACCAGTCATGGGTATCATACGTAATACGACAGTGTGACGCGACGAGACAGTGCAATTTGTAAGCGCGTTCACCAGCGAGTGGCTAGCGCATTGGAGTGTCACCAATGCGATCTAGCCGTGTATCAGCCAGAAAGCGCACCTCCATTCATTCTATTACATGTATAACGTAGGGGGCTCCCGTGCTGGTGGGTATTTCATATTCGGTGAGAACAACAACAAGTGAAGAACGGAAAGAGGACATGTTTCCGTTGACAATCCCGACTGGAGGTGTCAAAACCGAGGGCCAGAACGAAGGATAACGTTCGGCGAGGATGAATTGTTTCGATGAGCGAAGATGTCACTTGTGCATTTTGAAACTTCTTGTTAGCCAGACGTCAGCCGCGATCGGTCAAACATTATCTCTAACGTTACTCTCAGTTGGACGTATTTCTGTCAAACGGAACTATGTGCATTATGACATGAGCCCTGAGACCCATTAGAATACACGCATAACAA